CGAAATGACCTTCGGCAGTGTAAGCTGAAAAATCTTGAATTTCACAAGGGGTCTTGTTTCAGAAGCCTTCTTCAAAGCCCATTGTATCTGCAACGCTGACAGGCTACCCTCGGTCAGCTGTCGCCTATAGACCGCGTTCAACTTGTCACACCTCTCCTGGTTTATATCAAAACGAACATTATAGGGTATCAAGTTATATGACTTGCTGAGGTTCTTAAAGTCATAATGGGCCTTGCAGATCAAACGTTAGGGACATCATATACAAGAGATTCAGCCGTATTCTAGATGAGTCTCACGCCATAACCAAATAAGTATACAGATGAGTGTATAAGTCCAAGTTCATGGGATTTGGGTTCAAGTAGAATGTAAATTTGACGGAAACTCGAGGACTGCGCCTCAAGGGCGTCGAAACTGGTCGTGAGCTTTCGAAGTATCTCCAGCAACCTCATAAGTAGTATGTTTCACCTGTACAATCATTTGAGACATTTCGAGACCTAGCCAGAAACTCCCCGGCGCGTAATATAACGCGATAAATCTTGTGGACCTCTAAATCTCTATGACTTTCATGCCACTTGTTTAACGACAGAACGTCCTCTGCCCGATGGAAGTTACATTTTAGGCAGTATAATGAAAAGATGCGATAACTCCTTTCTTAGAATTAAGGATAAACGTAGCACATCGGGACAAGATGATGAGAGTCACATTCGATCTTTGTCACTTTGATTTGTGAGTTGTTCGGCTGCATTGTTAGAGAAAAAAGAACCCCGAAAGAAGTTTTTCCTCATTTGCGGTATTTTCTGCTTGATGTTATCAAAACTACCAGCGAACTATCTAGTAAAACTACCATTAGTAACAATTGTCTTCAAACTGACAATCTTGACATCGGAGGTAGGCGAACATGGAGCCCTTTGTGCGTCCCTGGTAGACTAACAGTAAATTTAGTCACCTTACCTCCTAACACTAAGGCTAGCTTCTTTATGGCCACTTTAATCTGTTAGTGACACTTTCTCCCAACTAGAAGAACAAGCTGTTGTTTGCTTTTGAAATAGGTCGGTTTAGAAAACAACGGAAACGAGCGAGCAAAATCAGTTCTGTCTGGTGTCTTTCAATGTCCCAATATATTTTTTGGCAACAGCAATATCAACAGTGGTAGATTTCACATGAATTTCAACTTAGTTTACATGTTTTTGGCCATTTACCAATTGCAAAATCAGAGAGAGTTCACCAGATGCCCACTGATTTTTTTCAAAATGAATCCTGGATTGAAAACATAGATTGGGGTTTCGATGACCTTACTCTTCTTTTTGTGTTTGTCACCTAATCCAAAGCAATAGTGACCACTCCATTCAACTCAAATTCGGCATTGCATCATGTTGATGGTACACGTTTCACAGAAGGGTGATTTTAACCGACATTTTCGACCAGCACCTCTTTTTCATGGATAACTGTGGGTATCGCAGGCCTCAGGAACGTAAACTGATCACTTTCTTTTTGCGTTTTGTAACTTTGTAATAATACTTTGATTCATGCCACCCAGGTTTAAAGTGAAAATTGAACACTATGAAAAAAACGTACGAGAATAATTAGCGAAAGCCAACCACACAAACTGTTTGTGTAAAAACCGATGGAAGGCCTGTGCGGACGTTTCACTGGGATTTGTTTATCGTACCACACTTGCAAACTTGTTGCGGGCATCAAATGTATTATTTAGGCTTGGTATGTCTTCACCTCGTTTTTAACGTTATAATCATCATCATCATCATCAGAAACAGCAACATCAGTGTTCGCACTGATGCTTCACTGCCATACAATCATATGTATATAAATATATTAAAAGCCCTTAGGTGAAAAGAAGATGAAAAGAGTGGGTAAGGGATGGGACCTGGTGCTAGGCAAGCTGTCAAGCATTCTGAGGTGCCCACACCTCCAGTCGCTCAATCTAGAAAGAAACTGACGGCACGAACGCCACTGACATCGATTAACCACCACTTCTTGCAACGTCTCCAGCCAAGCACAGACGGGGTTACGGTGGCCGCAGCCTAGAAGGCGTACAACACCAACAACACTCATACTCTTCGTGATTTCGTTCACGTTAACAAAATAAATGTTCATCATATACTACTGGTAAATCCATCCAGGAGATGAACCACAGTGATGGATCCAACAGCGCTTTTAGATACATATGTTAGTGAGAAAAATTGAATAGCATTGTCGGAGGTAGTGTATAATCTTATTTATAGTTCTGATATCTCCATTATGGCGCTAGTGCGACAGTTCTTAGAGGAGTTTAAAGTTGTAATGTCTGTTTGCACATAAAGCTAACAAACAATCGGGTCGCTGTTTCAGTCTGAAATATTGATGCTAACATCCTAAATCACAATCAGAAAAGTTCAAAAATATGTCTAAGAATGTGGTCTGTTTCCACCTCCGGTAGACATGTCTGTGTCTTTGTGTGCAGTCTCTTATACTCACTATGTAAGTATTTCTTTGTAAGTGAATCAACCTGCAGCTACTCTTGTCTCAATTGGTGGTATTTTTATACTAAGTGCTTTGTTTCACTGCATAGACAGAATCTGGTTCATTTTCAAACCGTATTTCTCATGGTTACCCTGCGTTGTATGATAACCTCAAAGTAAATTAAACCGACCAAATATGAGTTTAGTAATATGCTGAGTATTCCAGAACTACCGATGGAAATTTTTAAACAGTGTGTGGTGAGGTGACACGATGTTGCCACAGGCGGGGGTTTTGGATGGCAGCCGGTGGAGCAGAGGATGACGAAATAATGCGATCACTAATGGTGTAAGGCCCTTTAGGTAATTTGTGCGTTATACTGCGTGATTGACGGATTATACGGACAATTGTGACGAACATGTAAAAAGGGTGCAGTTGTTGTTACCTGAACTCTAGTTCCATATTTCACTGCAGACCATTATCGGTCTGCGGGCTTGCCTGTCACATGTAACTACGCCGATGGAACCCTGTGCATATTAGCTAATCCTAAGTACGATCTGCGCAGAGCTGCATGTATGTCCAACTCAACTGCTTGTACTTGACGTAAACCCCAAGGAACAAAAGCGAAGGATAAAGTTGTCGCGTTGAAAAAGCCGTCGGCCATCTGGTGTCTCCCAGTTATTAGCCCAAAATGAGTATTTGTGACACTGTGCATGAAGAAAGTAGTCCGGTGGTCCGCGACACTTAAACAACGCACCGCAGATAGACAAAAGTAATCGTCACAAAGGATCACCTCAAACATTTGTTTTGGTAAAGTAGAGCATAGCGTCCGGAGTTGTGAGACAGGGTATTTGTGCTTGTTTTAGTAGTAGTATGTAAAAGATAATCTAATCAAATAGAATAAAGGCCAGAACACTAGGGCAAAGCACAATAAAGTACTACAACGAACAACATACACGGTGCTGCAAAATAGATAGGCACAAAATATCAATGGAAACACGGTCACACAAGCCAAAGGTATTGCGTCACGAAACACTTAAGTTCCCCCTCATTGCTTTGGATGGTGCGTTCTTCAGCTGCTTCTAAAAAGTAAGGCTTTCTACCCTCGCAACCGAACTGTTGACTGTAGCTTACGAGTGAAATTTGTTTGAACGTTATGAGACATGCAAAATGGCGGGCGAATCGCTCCCGTTTTAGTGTTTTTTTTACAAATTCATCCTTTACATACTGCTGGCCAAGTTCACCACAAAGAGGGTGACAGAGTTTTATGCCGGGCATTAGTCAAGTGGATCAGTCAAATGAGGCTAGCCCCCAATAGCTGAAGTGATCGTGAGCAGGCATTGCGGTTTCTGAGACTGATGAGACCGAAACGGCTTGGAGATGATGCACATTCAGCTGTTGCTCCTGAGATTCGCATATAACGGTGGAGCAGGAATTCACAGGAGTTTTGTAAGTTCGGCTTTTCTTTGACCGGTCTCACCGACTGGTCTCGGTAGGGAATGACACAATAGTATCAGTCCACACAGAAGGCTGTCTACATGATCGGGTATTAATGTGATTTTGCAAAGCCAAATCCTGAGTGAGTTCTTTTAGACAAATTTCTGAGACATCATCACACATGTGCTCGCTATCAAGGCCTTCTATTTTAAAGCATCATCCGACAGAAGAAAAACATGTCGGTGTACCATCTCGTTTTGAAGAAATTAGGCCAGCCATAGTGTACGTTTGTTCGGACCTAAAAGGCTCGATCAGTAAGTTTGCACCTCCAGTAATAGGCATACTAAAGCCATCCTTTGTATCTCATTTTGATAATGGACGTTTGCTTAGTTTGGTGTTATCAGACTTTAGCCTCAAATTGTTTGTTCTGACACAATTGGGATCAATAAGACGACCATACAGGGGTCATTTGTCGTTTCGAGGTGTATTTGATTGGATACAAGTGACAAATGAGTCACTGGTTGAGCTTAGTTAGGGGTATTTAGCAAGGTGAGTGAGTGGATGAGAGATAGCGCTGTTAAAAACAGTTTATTTTCCTTATACGACAAATAGCGTTTATATCATGGGATGTGGCGCATACATAACGGCATTTGACTAGCTTAATGCAACAGGCAGTCAAAAGATAGAAACCATGATCGTTGCAGGACTGTGTCCCATCGATTCTTCCAGTTTCCTCGAATCACTCGCACTGTAGACATTTGATGCAATTAAACGTGCGAAAAGAAATTTTTCACACAGTTTTTTTCGTAAAGTGTATCCCGGTGAGCTCATGATACATCATCCTATGGGTCANGAAAAGAAATTTTCACACAGTTTTTTTCGTAAAGTGTATCCCGGTGAGCTCATGATACATCATCCTATGGGTCAACACATGCTAAAAGCCAAAATCTCACTATTGTGGTAAGAAGTGTAAGTGGTCTTGCAATTTTGTCAAAGGATGCTAAAACACTCAACAAAATTTGGATTACACAGTCAAGTTCTGCTTTTTTATTCTTTATACATTTCTATCCTAATTTACCTCAGATCCTTTCTAACCGTCTCTACCTTAGCCTCGTCTTCTGGCCTACTTTGCAAGCATTAGACAAGTGCTTGTTTCAAGAACGCCATGTCCCGATGGTGAACGCTTTCAAGTCCGCCTAGCTATCGAACCCTCACCTGATCACTCTGGTCCACTGGAACTGATTTCTTTCACATTTTACTCACAAGAAGATGCGGATACTGTTGTGCACTTGCTAGAAGGATACTGTGGAGAATCCATAGGCGCAGCATTTCATCACGGATCAGGTGATCAACATTTAGGTCGTCGGCCCCCACGTGAGGAATTTCTACCTAACGGATGCCCTTACCGGTAAGTTTGTCAGACCACAGGCCTCCTATGGGTTTACTTTTTAGTGCTAACGTAGACTGAGACTCAGGGGGAGCGAGTGCCTGCACTTTGCTTAGTACTTAAACATATGGCAGAACCGGTGCTTACTCAGTCCCATTTGTGTTTCGTGTGGGAAATCCTTTTTAAAAATAACCAGAGGAGTGGTCAGCAAAATCCGGTTGCCAGCTTGGTGCTAGTTTCAGCCAGTTTTATGGTTATGCGGTGGATGTGATCATCAAGGAAAAATCATTCTTATCCCTTACCTGACAATCAGGTCAATTATGATTTGCTTTGAATGACCGTTGGCAAACCACGATGGTTCCGTATTCAAAATCAACCAAATCTTTCACTTATGTTTTTTTCAATCGAGTTTCGAACACGATGACAAACTCAGGGTTCAGTTGACTGGATGTATGAGATATCGAATAATTTATTTGATGTACTTTAATTCCTATGAGGTTATTGTAGTCCAGTTATGGACCACTATCGATTTTGACCTGCTTGGAAATAACTCTCCGTATTTCGCTCCATTCATTTTAGTCTCACTTGAAGCTCCCTCAGTCTTCATATAAGGGTCTACGCTAAGAGACCTTTTCCTAATTTAGTGGTTTTTATAAACGCTCTCAGTAGATCGAGCTATTTTCCTATTGTTGCACACTCAGACTAGCGCCGGCATTTAGTCGTCTGATGAAAGTTCCGTTATAAGTGCCATTGATTCATTCACTCTTGTGGGAAACTAAATAGATGAAAAGCAGAACGGAAAAGTCCCTTCAGCTTCATCAGAATGTGTGTGTGTTTGAGTGAGGTATAACAAAGTCACCACTTGGTGGCAATAACTTTTCTTGGCAGAAGCTTCAGTGATAAATTGTTGAGTAATTGTTTTAGTGGGGTTCAACTGGGATGGTTGTCTCCAGCACCTGGAACTTCCAATCAGAACCGTATTTTGTATGATAAGTCATCAATATAGAATTTCACCTAATGCATGGTAATGTGCACTCGATATCCAACTGGAGCGTTTTTGGGACCGCAGGCGTTTCACTCAGTGACCTCTTAATGAAAATGTATCTGTTACCGTGTACCGGTTTTTGGATCAGTTAGGCCCACAGTTTGTTGTGCCAGTGGAAATATTGTGGGGTTCTCCGTTTGCTGTGGTGTTTTTAGCACGATTTCAAAAAAACTTTAAAAAATGATGGAATATAAATGAAGAAAAGCAAGCATCTGTTTTGGATGAGACTACTTGTCTAGCCCGAAAGCAGACTGAAATTTCGAAATCCCCCTCACTACCCAAAAAGGTACAAGTAATCGACGCAGGGCTGAATGAACCTCCCAAAATACATAAGCCTTCCATCCAAAAACCATTGCTCAAGTGGTCAATCAGGCGCGTGCTGCGTGACGTGCATAGGCCGCTATATTCTTCCTAACCGTAGCTTATTGGCATTGATAACCACTCACTCTTGGCAGAGCGATTCAGCTTTCGGGCTCAACTCAGAAGGCTATGGGTTTGAACCAACCCAGCTTCCCATGAGATGAACAGTTCTGGTGCTCCTTAACGTGGGTGAAGTAGTCTTCTAGTATTCGAGAGATACATTCATTTGCGAATCAATTTGACTTTCACGATAGACTCAACTGAATCTCTTGTTCAGCTCATTCAGTTGTAGAATATCATAAACGAGAGATTCAGTTGAATCTCTCGAAAAAACCAAATTGCTTTGCAAATGAGTGTATTTCTCGAAAACAGTCCAATTTGGGTTCACTTGGAATACAAGGTTGACAGAGACTCGGAGACTGCGCGAACCTGATGAGCTTTACGCAGGGCGAAACCGGCCGTGGGCCGGCCGAGTTTTCAGCAACCTTGTTAATAGTTTCGTTTATGAAAATAGTCTACTAGTACTTTTCGGCTCTTTAGCATAGACTGATTTTTATTAATGGATCATACCTTATCAGCAACTTTTAAAAATCCATGCTTTATGCTAACTTCATGCTGAGAAGTGTCAATCTGACTTGATCCGTTGTATTGTTGTGGTTTTACCTATCAACGAGTAATATTTTCAGTGCCTATAGTCTGGACTGATTAATTTACGCAGACAATCAATCACTGGTGACTCATGAACTAATGAGCAGATCGATCCTCAAACAAGTTGCAAAGAATGTGCCGATTCCTGGTGTAACTCCATGGCTTTCTCTCTTCCAAAGATTTATTGATGTGTACTCACATAAAGCACTGTAAAGCTTCTCGGCGTTTTCCACTACCTTGGACGTCCGGTATTTGGGTGATATTTGTTTTCCCTCTTGATTGCCTCGTTTATCTAACGATAACGTGAAAGAATACGCGGGCACTATACACCATCTTAAGTGCAATAAACTACACAAGAGGCTTTGATTGTTCTAACACCCGCGTTCTGTTTTAACCCACAACGTGATAACAATTTCTAATACCATTGTTTGCCTATGGTTATTTACTCCCAGCTGGCACGTCAAGGTGACTTTTTTTTACACACATCATCGAATCTCACAAAAATGTCCACCATTTACTGAAAAGTGAACTTTAAATGCCACCCGATCGATAATGAATAATTTGAGTTAATTTTATCTCAAACAAGACATTTGTCATGTTTCTTATGGACAGGTTTCGTGAAGTTGAAAACGGCGAACTCCGAAGTAAGTCTTTTTTGTTAACTGAAACAGTCCTATGTCGAAAGACCTACTTAAGCTTTTGGATGTTTTGTGGGTAACCTGCATTCTGGATTGCGTGCGTCAAACTCACTTACATTGTAGAGAATTTTATGGAGTCTGTCTGAATCAGTTGTGATAAAGTGTATTTACGACCTGGGAGTTTACGTCCTCTTGTATCATTCCTATTGAATGCAGTGAGTGGGAGTTGTAAATCCGTAGACTTAACACATTTGTCCCACATAATAGGAAGTAAGGTTGTGTTTATTTACCCCTTGCTCATAATTCTGTTGGTAGCTTGTGAAAACTCTATTTTTAACAGCTTCACGCTCTGATAGTGGTATTCTTCAGAATCGTCCTTGTTAGCGCTTGAGCACTTACGTGAGTTGTTCAAGAATGTTCCACAAAATAAAACAGTAAGCTGCTAAGTTTCAGTTGTGGAATAAGGATCCAAGGATCCACTAGGGTCCCAAGATTCCAAGGTTCGGCTAACTGAATGCTTACAAGATGGTGCTCCGGAAGAGTAAAACCGTTTTAGCAATCTGTGGCGTACGTACGGATAGTCTACAACATGTGAGATCCTTTACGCACGACAACCTACCGCAGCACTATAACTGTTGTGTCACTTATATGGGTAACTTATGACCCGACAGATGTCATGAATGGAGAACCATACATAGCTCACAAATTTTTGGAACTGACCGAGAAGCACTAGTATTTGTTGGAGTGCCCGATTGCAGGCGAACCTAAAACAATAAATCGTCCAGCTATAATACACTTTCGGTGCCTAGCTGCCATGCCATCCAGTGGAATAACGAGGGTTGGGAGACTGCCAGGTTGCCCAAACCTAGACAGAGCCGTCGAGATTCAGAGATTAAGTTCAAATCACGGACATTCCGGTCAGCAGATTTAGTTCTGACCGCTGAGCTACCTCACCACAGCAACCTACTGAATCATTTCGGTGAAGGTCCATTCAGTATTCAAAGCGTCTCCTACCAGAGTGGTCAGTGGATAGAGGTCTGGCAAATAGTCTCCTGTTCCTGCTGGTTTGGGGCTTGAGCCGGTGTGAAAAGTGACAACTTAAACTTTAGAACACTCTAGTATTCTAACACCAATAACTATTGCTTTTTTGAGGCGTTCAAAACAAGGACTTTGGTGGAGCATTGGAATCTTCTGGCAGTACCTGAGCTTACGCACAATAATAAAAAATGCAAAAACGGAAGTGGTTTCGTTCCATACCGGCCAGTTTGCCTTGCTCCTTGGGAACATGTGGGCGGGTGAGCCAAAACATACGTTGAACCACACCTCTATTTTTGTTCACCAGGACCTCTTAACCACCCGCTCTCTTCAGTTAGCGTCATTCTTCGGTGGCTCCCCAGCTGTAGATACATCCGTCGGGCATCCATGGAAATTACCGAGCTAACGCACATATTTGTTCGTTCACATGTAACAGTTAAGGCCTATCTCTCATCATTGTTGTGGCCTTCAAACTATTAAAAACATGTTACTTTTGTATGCACTTTGAATAATTTGTTGATAGACATTTGTTGCGTTTATCAGTTCCCTGTAGAAGACCCAATTGCCTTTCCTGAGGATATGACATCACTTTCTAGGCAGTGTCGATGGCGAACTGCAAGTTATTATGCAACTGTAGTGGCTGTCTGCGACGGACTCGGTATGACTCCTAGCTTCCAAACTGATACTTGCTTGCTTGACTGGATACCCGTGAGCATTCGTGTCCTTTCGCTTCATCTGTCTACTTTCGTAAGAACTCGTACTCGTCGAAAGAGCAGCCCCTCTTTGTTCAGTTTCCACCTATGAGGCAATCAACTGTAGCATTGATTCCATGAAAGAGAGAGAGGAATAATCCCTCTTTCCCGTTCCATCACCAAGTGTTCACATATAGTCCTAATCACATGAAGGCTCACCGTACAATTGAGAAGTCTCAATTCATACGAGGCGCGACTCGCTGGTAATTTGGCTTAGACCAGAAGGGTAATTATAGTTGTGAACGTCATTTACCACTGTATGTTGATCACCAGTTCCTCCGTAGCAACGCGTTCAGGCGTAATGCATCTTTGTGCTTTACGAAGCCCCCGTACTCCCTAACTAGCCCAAAGGACCAAATCGTGGCGTCAACTACAGTTGACCATCCTCAATATCGAAGTGTCACTCGCACAGTCTATGGCACGTCGGATTTTGAATGTGATCCCAAGTTCTGGGATTCTTGTTTCACTTGCAAGGTGCAAGGTCAGCATTTTCTGTCTTCACTGCATTCCTCTAAAATTTTGTAGAGAGGAACTGGAGTTTGTTGGCCGGTTTACTTATCTAAGCAGCCTCGTTTGCCGTGACTGTGCCTAAGGTGCAGGTAACGGCTGAGAAACTGCATCATTTGTGGCTTAAGAAGGAGACTTTCGTGAACTCAAACGACTTTTTGTATACATTCACCGTAGGAACATTTTTGGATAATGGCTGTAAGATTTGACTCCTCCAACCGGAGGACATCAGACGAATTTAAACGTTTAATCATCGAGGCCTTCACAATAAAGAGGCGTTAGGCGACTGCAGAGTCTTTGCAATGAAGTGATGCCCAAGTGAGTAATTGGTGATGAGGCGGAATCACTAGAAGAACCGGTGAAATTCATCAGCTTAAAGTGTTTGGGACATACATTTCGCTTATTAATTACCACCTACAAAGGAAGTACTGTTTTCGACTCCGAACTCTTACTGTGAAAAGGCCTGTAAGAGACAGGTCATCAGTTGGTAGCGCAAAATGAAGGTAGCTGCCGTGAAAATGAGTGTCACGGGATCTTCGTTCTCTTCCAGTTGATATCCACGTTATTCTCTGTTCCAATGCTGGCTGTGTTCTCATTTCTGGGTCGGATGTCTAGATACAGGTTGTTTGTATTTGTATGACGGATTGGTCGTAGATCACGTGGCTGTTGATCAGCTCGTCGAGCTTGAAAATGTGTTTGCGTTTCGCCAGCTCCTAGACAGGTGGCAAAACGTCTACAAGCAAACTGACGGGCTCGATGAACAGATTTACCAATATTCACTCCTGGAGTATTGCTGTCAATGATGATGATGATGACTGGTAACAGCTGATTGGAGCACATGATTCAGTGTTGTGTCATAAAAATTGATGGCGCCATTAATGACCTTGGCTGAAAGGAAACAATCACTTTGACTATTGTTGTGGATGACTTTAATTCGTAAAACCCAAAACGAGGTCCAGCACGACGGAAAATTCTGGTATGGAACTCCTCCAGGGTAACCTTTTGGAGACTTACTTTATATCTTTTGATAGTTGAACTACTGTTTTTATTAAAGCGCAATACACATCTACACCAACTACTCCTGTGTGCTACAAACTAAAAATAACTATTGTAGTCCTTATGTAGGCAGATATGGTTGAGAAGAAACTGACGGATAAGATCGATTTCCACTCATCTAATCAACTGTTAGTTAGGCAGCATTATTCTTCTTGTCTAAACACACAGGTAAGTGCTTCAATCAGTCAGCGTAGAACGTCCAAGCGTTATTTCATGAGACTCCAGTTGCCACCTAAAATGTACTAGATATCACTGGCAGCGACTACCCATACAGTTATGGAAGCCTTGTGAACAAGCAAAAATCGCAACTGTCGGTAAAGTTTCTCCGTTATTTTAGTCCATCGGGGTCTTATCTCTGGTAAAAAAGCAGCATGGTCATCCCTGAAATCTAAACAGCTGGAGGTTTGATTTCTAAGGAATTTTTCGTCTACGCGAACATGACAGGGTTTGGAGCTCTCACCAATGCACCTAAAACTATTTACTTCAGCATACTACATATACCGTGTTAACTTCCTTGTGGAGGTAATTAGTTTGAATTGAGCATGCGTGAATTTATCGATTGGGCGACTGCGATTGTTGAAGTAGAGTCATCTTAACGGCATACTGAGTCACATTCAGTAGCGACTGTCGGGTTTGAACCAGAGCAGAACCACAAACAATTCTTCGTTGCTTCCGTCGAGACATTATCCCATCATGCAGCATCAAAAATTAGGGCTAACTAATATCCCAGTTCTCGGTAATTAGGACCTAGTGATTAGGTGCTCGGTTGACAAGGGATGTTGGGAAACACAGCTTTCCAAATTCACTGACTGTTTGAATGACTCAACTAGGACTCGCCTGTTGAAGCGCCATCTGACACAAGAAACAGGACTTAAAAGTGGATATGCACGTCTGCTCGGCTGCTGGTTCGACATGAAAGGGTGGGTGCAAATTCAAAGATGTGTACTGGTCTCATGAGGACCTCATTAGACTCCAGCGCTTTTAATTTGATATGGACTAAGAGGAGTTCTTGTGCCAGGACAGAAAATTGACTGCTCAAAATATACTGAGGTAGAGTCACTAATGTCTCGCTCACTTTAAACTCACAGGTCAAAAGGCACACTTGTCCTAAATCTTCCATTGTTGAAAGTATATCTGTGAACAGCAATGTGGGACTCTCTTCAAAGTATGTGCTGGAGTCTAAGCTCTTGAAGAAAGTAGGAAACTTATAAAAAATCCGCGTTGATCATAGCTGAGGGTGCCTGATTCCCGTTAATTTTATTTTCCGTAGTTAGTGATCTCTCAAGATGTTCATTCAGGTTCACCCACCCTAGATATCACACATCTATTTGGTACACAACTTCATCGAGTTGGCTGAAGGTTGCTGCACGTTTGAGTCAATAAGTGGTATTTGAACCACTACGCCTTTTGTTGCTCGGTTCCTGACAGATTCATTTAGGGTCTCTATGTAAAAAATGAACCGCCATAAAAAATGCAATGTTGAAAGTACGATGCAATCGGCTTCTTCTGGTTAAACTCAACGCTTTATCATAACGATATTGGTTTGATGGTGTAAACGTTTCCACTACCTAAATTGTGAAGTGGTTGTTTCATTCTTTCAATGTTCTTAATGAAAATAACAGGAAAGAATCCTATGACAAGCAGACTACAACTGTCAAAACTTTGGCAGGTGCTTCACTCATTTTATTTTTTTAGTTTCACATATAAATTTATGTAGTCACCGCAGTGACAGATTCTTCAATTTGGCTTGAAAATGTCAGCCAAAACAATAATCATATTCGGTGGTACTTTTGGGAACCGATGAAATGATTGGTGATTAAGTATGTATGCTTTAATTTGTATGAAGCTTTTTCAGCACTCTCCTGAACGATCACATCAGCTGTTCAAGTAAGATAACCGTCCGGGAGGGTACAGTTTGCGGCTATAAGAATCCACCCATCATCAAAATTCTGCGGGATGTGGAAAAACGCCGTTGATTTCCAGAACAGTAGCAATTTAGTTGACACACTCACATAAACACAGCACTGAGACTGATATTATCTGTTTGTCGGCTCACTGGGTGTCACTGCAAGCTAGCTGCCAATTATACTTTATCTATCAGGAAGCAGTTCTTTTTATGGAACGATTCTGAATCCCAGTTGTTATGCGCAAAACAGGGTTGAGCTTGCGACATTGACTGATAGCTCACATATCTGAAAGCTTTTAAACCCTTGAGTGACACTGCAAAGTACTATTTTCGATAAAATCTAAAACGGCAGGCGCAGTTATAAACATGATGGACAGTAAACGAGATGCTATATGCTAGCAGGCTTGCAAACGACCATTCGGAAACTCAAACAACTACGTAGAAAATTTGGTGCCAGCAAACGAATAACGGTCTGACGTCGACAAAGAACAGTCTAGTTACTGCTACAAATTTATTTAGACCAAATGGATCGTTGGTCAGTTGGACAACCGGTAGGTATGCATGGGCAGTGTTGCGTACGGAGCGGTCTGCATACGACAAGGATTCACTTTGCACATGCCACGGTTAGTGTGGGAAATTTTGTGTGCTGAATACACAAAATACAAACTAACATCTCATTCAAGCGGTTTGACTCAGTACCCCTACGTAGTCGTTGCCAAAACTTGTCGTTTAAATTAACTGGAAACGACAAAAGAATGTAGAAAGAAGCTAAGGAATATTTTGGAATTGATGAAATGTAGTGAACCAAGGCCACTCAGTTGGCGGTGCTTTTAACTGGACTTGTGGTGAGCTATTATACGCGGATTCAATTCATTTTCCGAAATCAATTTCTGTAAAATAATGTTTGCAGTTATTTTTTAGTCTGAAAGTATTTGCGTCACGGAAGTTTGATTTGAGATCTGCTATTGGGACCTTCAACCTCATCTTCAGCATCCCTGAATAGTGTTTATGACAATCAATGGCGATTATAATCAGCGAACGCATTCCTTTAGACTGCGCGATCATCCTTGCACACCTACGTTCTTTCTACTAAAGTATAAGTTAGAACGTTTTCAGCAATACAAATGACGCGATGGCGTGTAACAACCTATAGGTGATTAACAAAAGCAGTCTTTGAGGATAGCACACAGAAACTAGAAACAGACGGCTTCAAATCTATCAGAGTTCGAAACGTTTTCATCGCAAAAGGACATTTTTTATACCAAATACCTTCTTTCACGCTGATATAGGGACTTTTCATCAGGTAATTTGTCAGTCCGTCTAACTCATTCATACCACAAAAAATAATGAGCGCTCGCTTTTCTCTGAGAAATTTGTCTAAAGCGAACACTCCTTACCTGATACGGCAAAAACTGCTGAAAAATGTACATTGACTAATCAAACAAAACAGCCTCTTTGGAGGAGTGCGTCTTGTGGAAGCGGTGTGTCCAGAGATTTCCAAAAAACATGCCAGGATAATTTTCTCTCATTCTTTTATCAACGAAAGCTTTCATCCGTTTTATTCATTTCATGACTAATTTTCAAAATATAGACTGCGGAATCCGAGTAACAGAGATTTCATATAGCTTGTCGTTTTCATGAAATTTATCAAAGTTCTTTCTCAGTGAGAAGTTGGTATGTTTATTGGTCAGTGTGAGAAATATGAGACTTTATTGCAAACAAGCCTACCAAGAACTGATGAGGCACAATAAGCGAGAGCGTAAAAAGACCAAAATATATAGCGAAATACACTCATTTGCAAACATTTGGTTGCAACCTTATCAGTAGTATGTTACTTCTATACATGTATCTCGATATTTCAAGCATAGGTGAACAGGCGTTTCGCTATTGTAGATAGAGTTGCATACAGCAAGTAAAAGCCTGATTACCGTGAAGAAAGGGGCGCCCCTCATTGATAGGGATGTAAATGCCTTTTTTAAAATCGCCCGGTGTGACACTTGGTTGGTAAGGGTAACTTTTGTTCTTAAAACAGTATCACTAGTGCTAAGTTTCCAGTCCAGTATATTATTCTGTGAGCTAATTAAGTATAACGATCTGCAGCTTGACTAACTTGCTCCATCTGCAGGGTTATTTAAAAATGTGAAATTGCCTTGGATTTTAGGTGTCACACAATGTACTGACAGTCGTACGTTGGGTTGTCTGTTTTTATGATCAACTGTGTTCTTTTAAGAATTACAAAAAGTCGGGTGACATTGTGCATTTGAAGCCCTAATGATCAATATGATCAAAAAGGGTCTTTAATGGTGACTCGTTGGTTCGCTAGCGCTAAAACAAATTGTTTGATATAAACGAGCTTTATTCAAATCTACGTTGTGTTGGATAGTTGGTTTTGTCGCGACGGTCGTGCATTCCTAACAACATATAATCACGGACGCTTGATTAATTAACCCCAATCCTCCTCTAAGGTTAAATATCCATGGACTTGTCAGCCACTTTGTACAAGTTGAAAATCTCCCGCTAACAGTTATTCTGCAGATTAAACAATCATGGGAGTAACAATAATTCCACACGGATGACTTATTGTAATCAAAGCCGTCCCCGGGTGTTGTGCACAGGACAGACTTAAGCTTGTGTATGGTTGTGTGAAGCCACATATTTTGTCGTTGTCCTAGAAGATATTTTTGCATCTATTCAACGATTGAACTGTATTGCAGCCATCAGCACGGCATCTCATTAAAGTAACACCATAAGATCAGTCCAAGTAGAATGACTTACTTCAACTGACGGACAAACCATACACTTCCAGAAGGCTAATTATGGAAATCTTGTGAACGCATCAGAGAGTGAATCTCTTTGGGTAAATGTTCACGGATTTGTCATCTGAACCATAACCTTTCTAGGAAAGACTTTGAGCCAACATGACCTGACGTGGCAAAACTCGGGTAATAGATCATTATGAATGAACTTTGAGACGTAAAAAAATGGTACTCAACTCATGGCATCCCTTTCGTACAGCTGTTATTGAAGCACCCGGGTCGCCAAGTTCTGATAAACCAACTGACCATCGTATCTAAATCGCCTAAAGTTACCCCAGTACGGAAGAAGCATACAACAAAGCCTAGATAAATCAAACATACTTTCGTTCTTCTGAAGCTACTTCGAAGAATGCTCCTTCAAAGAACTCCACATAGCCAGCCTTGGGCTACTAGATACTTTTGTAGTGATTTTTTCTCCTCAGCTAACTAAGAGCTTTTCACATATTACTCCTTGTTTGTCTTCCCCAAATAAGGCTGTATTTTGGAGCTAGTGAGCCATTTTATCACTCCTACAGTGACCCCTTTAAACATCACTTCCAAGAGGCAAAAACCACTTCTAACTACCTGATAATTTTAGGATTTGGTTCAATCGATCTGAATTAATAGCCACAACCGAACACTCACTGAATGAAACAGCTCTCTCTTTACATGTCAACCAGGTGAAGGACCGTTCAAAACGAGCCGGAAAATACATTTTATGGTCTGTTGAAATACACACTAGCCTAGAAATTACTAATGCACACGGCAAGCTCAGTCATCTAGTTCACTACTTCGAACCAGGAGTGCGCATGGAGAATGGTCAAATGAGCTAATATTAACAACTGAACATACTGACTCGCCAAATTTAAACAGAACTCAACCATCCTGTCAAATAATGTCTAAAATTTTGGTGTTGTTCTTATTAGTAGTGTGTGAGAGCTGCTGAGGTGGTGCAAAGTTCTCCCTTTGGAAAGAAAGTCTAATTTGGGGAACAAACTGGGAATCTTCGTATGCAGATATTATTAACTTTGAACCACTAAGACTTTGTGGTGGTCCTTATTCTGCATAATCATTTGAAGAACACTATAAACGAGCCCCCCTCAGAAATAATTCTGAGCCTCACAATCTCGTTTTTTTGTGTAAGCGTTTGAAGCTGTTTGGTGTGATACCCCCGAAATAGTCAGTAGTGGGTGTTTATGAGCTGAACTAGTCCAAATAATCCGTTATGGGTGCTTTTTCACAAATACTTTTTGGCATTTATATTTTCTCTCCCTTCATGGTGGATCTATTCTCTTGTGCCTGGATAACCAACTGTGTTGAAACTATATTATCGAGTTTCATGCAATGTTTCGATGCATTTACAGACGGTGGAGCCAGAATAGACGATACTCGTCTAATAATTTATTCATGGAGTTGAAGCTGTCTGGTTGAATGTAACTAATTAATATTCTCGAAAGATAACCTTTCTCGTGTCTTGAACATTCAACTCGGTGACCTTGTTGTGCACTACCCTCATCTGCTCCGTGTCAAAGTATCAAACACGCTATACGCACGTGTTATTCGATATATCTGTTGTTTCCACTTCCTCACAGAATTCGAAATACCCCGGAGTAATGTCATTTTGGAGCAAGTTCTGGGTGAAGGACAATTTGGAGATGTCTATAAAGGTGTCTACAGGAAATACGTAAGTTTCGCCGTATAAATTTTAAAACCTCCCAGGTTTACGTTACAATCAGTTGTTTCGAAGTAAATCGATTTGAATCTCGTGAAAACTCGTGATTACAGGTACGTTAGTCGGTCGAAGGGAATTTTTCGGGGATGGGGGGGGGCTATTGGAAGATTAAAAATTTATGGGGAGCCGTAAATTGCACTAGAGTTTCTCATGTCTCAATAACTTCATTCCTCTATAGTACATGTAATCACGACTGATCTGTGCAAGTTACCAGGTCTGCAAGCAATTTTGGAGTAAACCTGCCAAAAGGTATCAGGTGGCAATCAATTGGTCTCTGTGGCTTCGGGGCGTAAGCAGAGCACACATACAACACACACAATTGCGTAAATGATAGTCGTCTATTTGGCTGTGGCCAGAAACTCGCAGTAAACGGAACGTGCATTTTTTGGTGTACCTTAATTGGTCACTTCTGCAGGACGATGAGTTGCTTGGTGCACCATTGGAGCTAGCAGTCCGCTAATTGTGTTGCTCGCACGACTCGACGCCCATACCATAGAAGCAATGTACGATTATTGTATTCTGTATTGTATTCAAGCCGGAGAAGCTAATCACACGATCGGTACCCAGGTCACCCTTTCAACATGATTTAGAGATCACCACTCAATCGTTTGAAGTTCATTCGCAGAAACGCACCTAAAATGACGAGCATATGGCATCCATGTCTATCATTAAATACGAGAAGTAAGAGACCTTGGCCAGCCAAGAACCCCGAAAGAAAATCAAACAGGGCCATTTGCTTCTCACCAATAAGGTCTCTCCTACTATCCTCTCAACCTTGCTAAAATGTGCATGTACGATGAGATTTATCGAAGGCACTGTTCGCAAACTATGATAGCAAATCCGTGATAAGCGAACTTATTATGGGGGCAACATGTCTTTTCTTGAATATTTTAACTTCTCCTTAACATAAACACTTCAAATTTTTATTTAATGACAAATATCTCGATATTTCCTAAAGTTACTCACTACTCACAAACAAAGCATTTGTACATATGTCTCCGGGTAGTGCGACAAGCCCAAAACTATACACTGGATAGGTATCATATGCCCAGACCTCTCTCAACTAATGTGTCAGTTTCATTTTTCTATACGACAATAGACAAAGCTTTGAGAAGACTAATAATTACATGAACCTCCTTCACAGTAACAAGAACAACAACAGAAAAACGCCTGAGTCAGTCTTGGTTCACATCTAAATTAAGTTGGACTATCTGGTAATGGAACGTCACATTACAAAGTCATTGGTATACCAGACGGATGTAGTGTACGTGTATTGCATTTAGCAGGATTCTACTTTAAGTCTGAAGCACACAGGTGACATGAAAAATCTATCATTTTTTTTGCTTCATCCCTCTGATTTTTGTGTGACATGGCTAACCATAAATCACTAGAAAACGGGGTGGAATGACGAACTATTGCTATGAAAAAGACTCCTCGTATGTGATCCACTTATTCAGTTTTTTTCGCCCGTCTCGGTAGACCTAAGCTTGTTTCCTCCAAACGAATGGTGATTTTCATTTGCACGATATAATCCATACGTGCCGTCCTTTCAGGTGTCAGGAATAAGGACTCTTTAGGAAATACAAGGCAGAGTATGGTGTGTTAAAAATATTGGCATAATTCAGAAGTGGTGAGACAAAAACTACCTAACAGCTCGCGAATGCTGTGGACCACCGTATGCCTATATTGTAGACAACGTAATCACATGAAATGACGATTGGCCACAAGCAAACTTTACAAGTCTATATATTCTGCGCATAAGCGAACATTTGGCAGAGTTTTGTTTCCAACAACGACTTGATCATCCCCTTTCCGATTTCGAGGCGTTTGTTTTAAAAGGTATTCGAAATTGTAACAAAAACCACGGGATATTGCGACAAGCCATACATTCCTTGCCAACGTTAGTGTCTATGGGTAATTATGATGGATGAGCCCCGATATGCAGGGATAAATTGTCAGTCAAGCACACGTATATTTAACGACTGATATGCTGTCAAACTCGTAAACACGACTACCCTACGGAACTGACAATATATGGGGACGTAACGGAGGTAGATAAATTTTCCATTCCACTTGTGTTGGGATTCATTCATACTTCGGTGATTAGGATCAATCGAACACAATTCACTTCAAAGGTTTTGTTCGTCGCGGTCATTGATACAGTTTGTATAAAAAGTAAAGGACACTTGTTAGAACAACATAAGTAGTTCTGTTGTTTTCTGTTCCGCTTTTGTTACCTCCTAAACGAAAGCTGACATTTTGTGGAATCAGAAAATGCGACAAATATGAGATGAGTATTGCCGTCGAGTTAATTTCTGCTACAAAAATGCGCACGCTGCACATTCACCAGTTGAGAAATCACCACTAACACATAACGGCCCTCCGTTTCAACGGTGCACGTGACCCATTTGTGTGCTCTAACCATGTACCAAGCCTGCGGTTTTCTTATTGACGCAGTGAACTAAGTTGAATCTATCGAATCGAATCCATCAGCTGCGTAGGTGTTCGGTGAGCGAGTGATCACTTGGTCATATATGCGTCGCTGTGGCCAAATGCATCACGTGACCAATGCTGTCTGCGCCCTTCCAGCAAGCCTCCACAGTGTTGTGAAGGTCTGTGAGGATGAGCTATTCAAGAGCCGGATAGTCTTGTCTTGATCATAAGCCCCATCACCATAGGTCACATCATTCGTTCGTTGGATGGCAAGTTGAGTTGATTGAGTAAACAGATCATTCACCAGTCGTCTAATCGAGGAAGACGCTCATCAAAGCCAACATCCGAAGTACACAAATAATCGAAAATCTCGGATACTGATTTTTCTCAAATCTCGCTGTTTCCCATAAGGTATTGAGACGGACAGCGCAAACACACCAGAGACGATTGGGATACAGCTGTGTGAAACACTATGAACTAGCAGTCTATAGCGATACCAATGTGGATTACACAGATGCAGTTGGCAAGATGTTTTACCGCCTTAGTCTGACGCTTTCTTCAGTGCATTGAGCTCAAGGTCCCTCAACGCCTGATCCGACCAGAAACACTGAATTCGGAGAGAATATTCTTGGATGCGCCAAGATCTCCGATAGCCCGCTGTAAACAATTGAAATTTTCCAGACAGGAAAATGTTCGTCAGTTTTTGGAGGCTAACTTGACAATCGCTTGAGCTAAAATAATGTAAGACTGTAAGTGCGTCAAACGACAGGTGGAAAGAATATGGTAAATTTTGCAGTAAAACACGCAATGTGGCCAGACATGAACCCTCGATTAATCTGCCATGGAAACCTCAGGTACAGAGTTTCTCTGAGGTACGGTCGTTTTCACCCTTTTTATCTGAATCAAAGCAAACGGGTGACGCAAAGGATTGTTGTGTTCATTTAGTAGCTTTTTAAATTTAGCTCGCTATTGTTATAAAGATGTTCAAAGTCGGGTCTTAGGCTTAGAACATAGTCTACCTTCCACGAGGCAGCTTTCATTGTGCGTTATTAAAAAGTAAATGCTTAAGATAAAATACCTGCGCTGAAATCCACGCTCACACCATACACACGTGATTCTCATCACCAAAATCCACCGACGACCAACTCCCTTACGGACCGTCTACTGCTGGTGTTACAATCGTTTTCAATTGACGTAGAAAGTTGTCTTGAATAATACCAACCCCACGTATTTATTTCATCAAAAATAAAAGTTTATTTTAAAAAAATAAGTCCTCGACAGAGACTAGTCAAGTCCCACGTCCTGTTACGGCATACATCGTCGTCATCATTAGCAGCCGAGGGAACCGCGTACACGTCGTACAGCGAATAAAAAATTCACATATCTCCCTGGGTTAATTGTGCATTGTAGGCTGAAGCTTATATAAGTAGTGCATAAATACAAGGTTGTCAGTGGACTTTTATTTGCAGAGACTCGGAAGAGAGGTATGCGTTGAAGGCAATAGCTTGGATGCACGCGTGCCAGTGAGGGCGCGGCTGGGCCATGTCCGACAATCTCTCTAAATATTGATGTGCCTTATCTCGAAGTCCTCATCTAGGAAGACGGCAATGATCAGTGCAGCTGAGTTTGCTGGTAATAGCTTTTATGCATCACTTTCAAGTTTGACCTCCCCTGGCTTGTTCCAATCCTTCACGTGGTTGTGCAAAAACAACCCTCAGAGGAGGTCGGTCAACTGCACCTACTTCCCACTGTTTTGACCAGTCCATTTCCAATGAGTCTAACGTCCGTTCGTTGAACGGAAAATGTCAGTGCGTGAGCACTGATACATGCATAAAAGCAAACTGAAATAGAACAGTGAATGAAGACCAAGTTCACAGAAATCTGTCTGCCTGAGTCCCAAAGAAATTCAGCTGTAATTGACAGCTTACTCGATGCTGTTAGTCTGTGATATAATGTATCGATTTGACGGTTGGAGAAATAAGCCACGAGGCGTAATGGGATAGACCGAAGCACTGTCAAACATAATCTGTGTGACCGCATATTCTACAATGGTGTTTGACACCACTATGTTTAGGTTATGGAACCTTATACTGAAGTTTGCATCTCCACCAGTAATGTGCCGAATTTCTTTCGGTATCAGGTTATCGGTATTTTTACCTTAAACGTAACATATCGACTACATGATCCAGACTTTTTTTAGATCGCATAGCATACGCCAAATCATTAATCTGCACTGAATCGTGTGCAAGTCTGATATAATAAGAAATTTTCGTTTAACTTGATGACTTCTGTCAAAACTGATTCTGGCTAGTCATACAGGCGTACCTTTTCATTATGCCATGGGTCTTGGTCAAAGTAGCAATGGATACTAGATTACGTGATTGACGATGTGACAACAAGTACACAAGCATCTCTTTCACTTTCCAGGCTCATGCAGAACCTATTCCAGTAGCTGTTAAAACATGCAAGCTAGAGACCTCCCTGGAGGATCGACAGCAGTTCTTGGAAGAAGCGAGTAAGTTTGAACGTTTCTTTCCGCTTGACGTTGACAAAGCTTCTCCCTCGATTTGAATGTACAGCTCGTGTAGTCGACACTATCATAAAGCTCACTTTGATTTCAGTCCGATTACTTAACACATACGTAGTTTTTCTCGCTGCTAACCACTGCGTGATTCCGATGAATTTATGTTACGTGAACGGTCAACCTCAGATCTGGAAGCATGAGGTAGGTACGGTATAATTTCTGTAGTTTCTCGGTAGAGGTTCCATCACTGCGCAAACACTACAAAATACTAGATTACGCTATTCTCAGTACAAACAGATGCATCGCACATCCTACAAAATAAACGCTCATAAAACTTTGATCCATTTCACCCGCCTACTTTGCTTCTGCATATCAAAATAGTCCATTGATTTGCATATAAACTGAATCTTTTAACTAACAGCCACATCAATAAGACACGCCGATCTTCACTAGATCCATCACCCACAGTTATCTCTGTGGCTAGATTTGAGGAGATAAGGCGACGGATGTTATGTCAGAATTCGTGCAGTACCAGAAGTATATTTGCGGCATATTGTGCTGCTGACAAAGATTGCCATTTAAGAGAAAATGTCGATCGATTTATTAACACACAGTTATTGACTCTACCATGAAAACAGAAGTGAACAATCATATATTCTTTCCAGACGTGTTGCGTATTACTGTGGTGTGTGCTACTGTATACAAATAGTACAACAGTAACAGTAATACGTTGCTAGATACGCTTTGCAGTTAATATATTTCCTGCATTCGTCGGCTAATTTCAGAATCGTTACCTATTCTTCAGGTATACTTCGAGAGTTCAGTCATCCACATATTGTCCGGTTATACGGCATATGTTCAGAAGACCCTATTTGGGTTATCATGGAATATGCACCTTTTGGAGAGGTGAGTAGCTGGTTATGCCTTTCGTACTTGGCTGATGAGAGGTGAATCCACCTGCGTTGGCCCGCTTCCACCATCTTAGTGTTTATGCAAATAGTGTGCTTCAACACCAGTGACCGAGCAAGAGCCTACAGGTTATCATCCGCTGGCGCATAGTATGCGAGTAACTCATTCCGGATACGTGAACTCGGACTCGACCAATGCTCCAAAGTTACTGACAGTAAAACGGTGGAAACCGTTTTGGCGTGGCCAATACGATAGCATATGGCAGCTTTCTAATATGCATCCATGTAGAACAAGCTGATATCACGTCTACTATAAAGATATAATAGGTTGGAAGAAGCTGCTCCGACATTCCCGTACGTGGGAGAAAATCGTCTTTCGCCAGTGATTGACGATGTGACAACAAGTACACAAGCATCTCTTTCACTTTCCAGGCTCATGCAGAACCTATTCCAGTAGCTGTTAAAACATGCAAGCTAGAGACCTCCCTGGAGGATCGACAGCAGTTCTTGGAAGAAGCGAGTAAGTTTGAACGTTTCTTTCCGCTTGACGTTGACAAAGCTTCTCCCTCGATTTGAATGTACAGCTCGTGTAGTCGACACTATCATAAAGCTCACTTTGATTTCAGTCCGATTACTTAACACATACGTAGTTTTTCTCGCTGCTAACCACTGCGTGATTCCGATGAATTTATGTTACGTGAACGGTCAACCTCAGATCTGGAAGCATGAGGTAGGTACGGTATAATTTCTGTAGTTTCTCGGTAGAGGTTCCATCACTGCGCAAACACTACAAAATACTAGATTACGCTATTCTCAGTACAAACAGATGCATCGCACATCCTACAAAATAAACGCTCATAAAACTTTGATCCATTTCACCCGCCTACTTTGCTTCTGCATATCAAAATAGTCCATTGATTTGCATATAAACTGAATCTTTTAACTAACAGCCACATCAATAAGACACGCCGATCTTCACTAGATCCATCACCCACAGTTATCTCTGTGGCTAGATTTGAGGAGATAAGGCGACGGATGTTATGTCAGAATTCGTGCAGTACCAGAAGTATATTTGCGGCATATTGTGCTGCTGACAAAGATTGCCATTTAAGAGAAAATGTCGATCGATTTATTAACACACAGTTATTGACTCTACCATGAAAACAGAAGTGAACAATCATATATTCTTTCCAGACGTGTTGCGTATTACTGTGGTGTGTGCTACTGTATACAAATAGTACAACAGTAACAGTAATACGTTGCTAGATACGCTTTGCAGTTAATATATTTCCTGCATTCGTCGGCTAATTCCAGAATCGTTACCTATTCTTCAGGTATACTTCGAGAGTTCAGTCATCCACATATTGTCCGGTTATACGGCATATGTTCAGAAGACCCTATTTGGGTTATCATGGAATATGCACCTTTTGGAGAGGTGAGTAGCTGGTTATGCCTTTCGTACTTGGCTGATGAGAGGTGAATCCACCTGCGTTGGCCCGCTTCCACCATCTTAGTGTTTATGCAAATAGTGTGCTTCAACACCAGTGACCGAGCAAGAGCCTACAGGTTATCATCCGCTGGCGCATAGTATGCGAGTAACTCATTCCGGATACGTGAACTCGGACTCGACCAATGCTCCAAAGTTACTGACAGTAAAACGGTGGAAACCGTTTTGGCGTGGCCAATACGATAGCATATGGCAGCTTTCTAATATGCATCCATGTAGAACAAGCTGATATCACGTCTACTATAAAGATATCATAGGTTGGAAGAAGCTGCTCCGACGTTCCCGTCCGTGGGAGAAAATCGTCTTTCGCCAAAGCGGTGGAACTGGTGCAGCTATTCAAATAAAGAAATTCGTCTAACACCTCAATTGGGTCATCTACACGCACAAAATTCGAGTTCCATCATTATCGGTTTTGCAACGCTACTCTGCATCCCGCAGTTACTCAGCGCATGCCAAAACGTACTACATACGTACCCAGGTTCTTTACTATGATTTTCATTTTGATTGGAGCCTGATAGCCAACGACCAAAAAGCATTCGCGCTGCACGGGTGTTAAAGGCTTGACGGCAGTCTTCATTGGTCATACTTTTGACAAGGCTGAAGAGGAAAACGGACACAGGACTACCTTAAGTGACACAGCTTGACGTATTAAACCCTATGGATAGTTTTCCATGGAACATTGCACATCCGAGAGACAGATTTAATGGCCATGAATTCGAGAGACACCTTTACCTCACAGATGCTCACACAGCTTCAGACGGTCAGCAGACACCGGAAGCTCCCAAGTGGGAAAAAGACAATTTATATTTCTAGAATACATATAGCCGTTTCAGAGCCTGTCGAAGAGTGAAATTTAACTTGATTTTCAGACGTCTGTCGTCTCCTGAATACTGCCAGTGTGTGGAGGTAAGACTGAAAAAGCAGACTAATTGCAGGACAGTTTTCATGTCATCTTTTTTAATATTGGGATATTTTTTGTAGGGTCCGATTCTGCAGGGAGGGTTTCCTCATTTAACGTAGCACTAACAGAGCACCCTACTTACAAAATCAGTGAAAATCACCCGACAATCCACGATCGGTTTCATCATACTTGAAACCCATCAGATAAACGCAGTCCCTGAGGTTGTCAAGCTAATGTGGACTACCAGAGTTTTCAGCAACCTTATGAGTAGTATGTTCCGTCTAGAAAATGCACTGTAATAATTACTAATATGGCAACCGAAACCAAATATGGTCTTTGTGCAGTATACCAAGTTGGAAGATATCATCGGTAAGAGCTTCAGCTTGAATCCAGTTGACTCAGCCAAGAACACCATCTTGTGCTGTAAATGAGCGATCTCAGATCGGTGCTGCCGATGTTAGACAATTTCTCGGAGATATTGCGTCGATGTAGAAACTGTGGACAAATGATGTCCCGATGGAACCCAAACATCAGCACTTAGGGTCAGCACTAGGGTCGATTCGTTTGCCTCAGATATAACAGTACTATGGAATCAACCATCTTCTTTGGTATCTGGTGGCCACATGATACAACTAGACGTACAGTTGATTCCTACGTTGACCACAGGTTGCACGATGAGGATCTGTCTTGACCATTCTTGCTGGTTAGAAACTGTTGGTGGCCAGTACATAAATGAGATAGTCGCCCTTTGTTGTTCTTTCCAATCGGCCATTCAGATTCGATTATTCGGGGCTCAGTCTACCTGATTGGACTTTCATATCACCTGTAAAGATGACACCATCAATGCATTTTAGTCGATGAATCATTCCAGACATCTCTTGGAAGTGTGCCCCGGTCCTAACGAACACAAGCTGTTACAGCACAAGACGTATCGATTCTGACGTTGAGTGGTGTCAAACTTGATAAGTTGAGGAAACCAAACACCACTGTTTGTCCGAACCTTACGCAACGAGACTCGTTCTGGGTTTTACTCCCACGCCATGTACATCATCGAACATTTCCCTAGGACCATTGTACATGTGAAAAACAAAGCATGAAAAATCTTAGGCATGTTGTGTGTTTCTAGGTGCTTGAACAAACTTGAATCTTTACGAGTGTTTCTGAAGTACACCAATCATCGATTTTAGGAATCTATAACTCCTGAACGCGCATCAATGAGCATTAGGTTGAAGGTTATGGAATAATTTATGGCCCATAAAAACATACCCCTAAAGGAACTGTAAAAAGTATAATTAACCGCTCACAAAGGTGAGGAAAATGGCAGAACCATTTGGCACATAAAGATGGATACCTTCGAAAAGTTAGTTCATCGAAATATGCACATATATATATATATATATATGCAATCGTTCCACTGAAATTATTGGATTGGGTTTTGGCAGGATACAATACACTCCATTCAGCTGCTTACACAACGTTTACCACGAACAGTGATCACTTGTCTATGCCAAGTCATTTTGATGTCGTTCGCATGTTTCGTTCAGCTTGACCCAAAGCTGACAACTGAGTGTTGGTCAGAATTTTCATCGATCGTCCTTAAAGTTCAAGCTCAGAACCTCACAATACAACGTTGAAGCCTTACATTTCGTGAATGTAAAACTTTCTTCCGGCCAAGTGGTTGTACACAACCACTAAGCCATCGCAACGCATCACTCAGTAACTCAGTGATAATGTCACCTCGATTGGTGATGAAACGCTTGCAATCAAATCGCCCAGCTCAGCGAGCAAGCCAACGCTCATATATTCTGTCCGCTTTGGTTTAAAAACCACCAGTGCTCGACTTCGATTCTTTTCTCAAACATGCATGCCTGATTGCAAAGTGTGACCAGTAAATTGGTCACTGTGAATTTCACCCATTTATCTGCACCCACTGATTTTAGCGGCAGATTAAATGTTATGCGCTGGACAATTCTGAGTGACCATCTTATCTCGAGACATTTGCTACATGGCTTCTTTAGTTCATCTGTGCTCGGCAGACGTCCGTAATTGTTATCTCACTTTTTGCCGGAGTTTAAAACGTGGATTGGAAAACCTCTATTCTTAAACAATGAATGCATAGGTTACTGATTTGAGGCGAATACCCTCTCTTACGCTGAAAGCGGAAGCTGTAAACGTGTACACCAGCAAGATGTCTTTTTACCCATCCCGTCCACCGCCCATTTGGTAATGTGCTCTCCACTTCGAATATACATCTGGTTGCAGGGTCCTGTGTGAAGCGCCAACTAAGAAAGAACCTTACTACGTCCTTCACAAATTTTGTTATGCGTAACACGGGATATTTAGAAGCATCCCAACTATTCGAAGCTTTACATGATGCCTTTCAGACCCTGTCTCCAGATTATGAAAAGCCATCAATTACTTGCTACCTGGCTAAAACGGATGTAACGACGAAGGCAGCAATCATTATTGGGAACTTGTTAAGTCTCTAGACAACATGCGTCACTCCTTCGCACATACCAGCCAAGTATCTCGTAAAAATAAATGTTATAAAAAGTTATTTCGAAATATCACCTCAAGCTACATCATGGCGTGTTAAAAGACATTACTAGTATCCTCATGTCATCGGCTGAGAGGATTTATTGAGTGACCAGCTAGACTTTTCAACTGTCCGCTTCAATTCGTAATGGTGATCTGAGATTTATTCAACTAATTCTGGAAGGTGACCTGGTCAAAATGTGAGGGGTGTCGGCTTGACAGCTTGCTCAGAAGTGACTGGTCGAATCATTAGCCATTCTGTTTTGGGATGTACTCGACGGGTGTGATATGCAAATGGTTTATCGATCTGACAGTAGCTAATTGGTCAACACTTAGGAGGTTGAGCTTTGAGGAATTTAGTTAATGTTCCAAATGTACAGGGTGATTAATTTCTGCCTGTCTCCACAAGAAGACAGTTCCATCAATAAAACGGCGTCGGCAGTTGCAACACATCAGAAATATAGGCCGTGAAAGTACTTCATTTTCTTCTCCCAGCTTTGGTCTTCCGATTGCCATAAACAAATGATTTATCAGGTGAAAGTTAACACGAAACAATTTGAGACCAGAAAATATCTGCATGTTCACAGCACTACTGACGGTGATAGAAACTCAAAAGTGGAACTCTCATTCAGAAGCAGAAGTGACCAACCAGGCGATAGCTGCTTGCATTTTGCGTCGTAAGTGATGCGCTCTCTCTAACAACGATTGTTATCAACACTTTGCAATGGAAAACACAACATTCTTTTATATATGGTGGTCAGACAAACCCACTGTGTACCTTACACTTGTGACGTTTATGTGCCGCCTGAGCGACTGTGAATTAAAAAAATTCAGTCCCTTGGGAATAATCTCATTGTGGACACGTTGTAGCCATCTGGGACATGCCACCTTACAACATTTTCATCAGACTTTGGAGATTTTCTATAGTCTTCTCCTTCTAGACAGCCATCCGCATGGTCACACAGTTGGACTGCTGATACGTGGTTTTATAGACAAGAGCATTTTACTTCGAAGAAGCCTGTTTCTGACATCGGAGATGACGCAGTTTAACGGATAGTGTTCGCGCTTTTATTCTCACAGCGACATCATCTGTTGCATCACATGCAACGCTTGCTCAGCTGTTAAATATGCATCTATTACTAAACCAAAACTATTCATTCTAATTATTCCGAGGGTATAAATACTGATGGCTCGACTGCATTTATTGAATGCTGGCCAGGTGAGTGTTCATCTATTCGTACTGCGTCGCAATTGGCTTGCGGATGACTCGCCATCATGCGAGATATGACCAATGAGCGTTTGGGTAGGCACTCTTCGTACGTCTGAATGTGTTTATATAGCTTTTAGAAAGCATTTGCTATCTATTTTCGGCCTATTTTACTCATACTTTATCAACCAGTCAGACACTTATTTTGGTGGCCTCCGTGACTTACTCTGCTTAGTTCATTCTCAAGCTACTCCGCGTTGTGGCCCGATTTTTTCTAGACCTTTAAGGGGTTTACAAAGCATTTTCCAGTTTTATACGGTTTTCACTTACTGTTCTGTCCGGTGTTCGGATGTATATTCTCTTCACCTTAAAGAAATGCCTTATTACCTAAATGACTAGTATTTTCTGGTAAATGGCAGGGTCACTGGATAAAATCGGAGTGAGACCTAGTGGTGTAACCGAAGTTTAGGAAGGACATAGATAAAAAATAGCAAATAAAACATTTTTGAAGTGCTAATAACGAGAAAAATTCTGCTTAGTTTCTGATAGGTTTGGGCTTGGAACTCCAGAATCATAGCGCTATAAGATGTTTTAATATACCGATGTTTTATTGCCCCATGAACTACATTCATACTAATTTGTTTGCTCCCAGTAACTCAAATAATGTGTGAGAAACACAGATGTGAATCAATTGCGAAGTCTGAATATGTTTATCTGTTTTTGTCGCCTATTCATATCTGCCTCCCTGTTTCGTGTATTTTAAGCTGCGACATTATCTCCTGGCCAATCAGACTAACGTTCCGTTGTCAATGCGGATCACATTTTGCTATCAAATTGTCACGGCGCTGACCTGTTTGGAGGACAAGAAATGCGTACATAGGTAAGTATCACGTGAGCTATCAAGCTTAGTAACAGCTTATCCATATTCGTTTATTCAAGTTGTCGATAATAAACTACCTGTAGGTAAATTGGGGAAAGTTTAGTGTGGTTTGTTCCTCGAAGATGAATTACTTAGGTCACTGATTCCAGTCAAGGTACTAGTGTAACGGTGATGGGGAGACACGCGAGTAGTATGTGTTGTTCGTAGAATTTCGCTTTGCGTCATTTGAAAAGGGGAGATCTGTTGCCGAATTCGTGGTACGACTTTGTACCATTTGCTTGGATTTGACTGACAATGGAGTGGAGTCAGTGAATCTCCAGGAAGATTCAAGAAGACGCGTCCGGGGGGAGATGGTTGTCCAGTTTTTGTGAATAAGATGCAAATTAGGGTTTTGCTTCCCTGTTTAATGGTCTGTAACCGATCAGTTGGCATTTCCTAATAAATAATCCCGCTGCGAGGGCCTTCTTCCTTTCACTAGTAGTTAGGTTAGTGGACCCAATTTTTGTGGTACATTTTCACGCCGGAAGTATGCATGCGTAATTGAGAGTAATAATACAAACAGACAATTTTTTAAACGTTTATATGCAATGTTTTTTCGGAATTTTGAGTAGGCTGAGTCCGCGTCTACGAAGACTTACCATTGCTTGTTGGTTTATCGATTACAGACGGCTGGAGGCTGTGGCAGTCAGATTGCCAAACACAGATAATCAATAAAAGCTGCTGTTTTATCAACCCCTGAGGTCAATGCAACTCTAATCGATATGATACAGTGTGCCCAGTGGTACACTGGTCGTCATCATTGTGTCAATTCTCCCGGAAAATAAAAACTGTTTCCGAAGTGCTTAACGGTCTTCAACTGCGCCTAATATTTCCCATTTCTTTCCCATATTACTGACAAACTTTGTAATTCCACCGATCATTTAAATCAACTTTGGTTGAATCATATTGTAAATTTTGATTGAGAGGAAACTAAATTTCAGTCCACCCCGCCCCATGCATCCTGGATCCTAACCTACTCCGTTCGATTTTGGTTGCACACACGCGCAGGGACATTGCTGCACGGAATATTTTGGTCGCTCGCGAAGACTGGGTCAAATTGGCTGATTTTGGAATGGCAAAAATGTTGCAGGATGCCGAGGAATTCCGAGGTGCGTGTCCAGTATTTGAGCCACCGCTAATCTGTGTCTGTTGTAACCAACACCAACTCATTGTACCGTTAGTGGCATTTGGAAATCGGATTAAGGAGACCCCCGCAGTTTAAGGAGCATCTTTTAGATACAAGTTTATGGTAAGTTGCGATTAATGTGAAACTAAGGAGTAGTTGGACGACTTCTGATTGAAAGAATACAACACCTGAATTGACTTGATCGTTCCTGAACATCGTTGATGAGGCTGCGTAATTTGGGGCTGTAGGCTGACTCGGCAGTGCACTATTGTACTTGTTTGTCATATTCAGCGAATTTTGCATAATGAAATTCAGTGTGGCCCGTCAGATACTCTCACCGAAGTGTGTATTCGATGAAGTCAAGTACAGGGCGAATTCATACGCATTTATGTGTATTTTTGTAAGACTGTGTAAAAAGCAAGTAGACTTTTCAAATCCGCTCATTTTTACGTTGCTGAACAGCCGATGGGTTCCTCGATTGGCGGCTAATCTCCAGTAGCTTGTAACAAGAACAATGCTTGTTCAAGAAGGTCAAGAAGAAAGATACTGACATACTTTGTGTCCATTTACTTCCTATATACCGCTAGGGTCGTTTGAACTGCAAAAGCCCTTTGGGATTCTGATTTGCAAAACGTTCGACTCCTATATATAGCCGTACATAGAGTCTAACGAACTGCTTTAGCTGTAGTACTCAGTTGCTCTTCACCTGATAGATGATTGAGCGAGCTGCAGATGACATGATCAGGTATGTCACTTATGTATTGCGTTGGGCCATGCTAGTTTGTTCGCGTTTCAAGGCTTCTTTTAATCCCTCCGATGGACGTACCATTGCAGGTGAACTGACAAGTGCAATATGTCATGATACAACTGATGTTAACGATCTTACAGCTAGCAATGGTACAGCTCGTGTACATCCCTTCATACAGAGCTGTGCTATACTTTAGTAACAGCCGGGTAAACGTTTGGGCGTAAAAGCACGATCATCAGCTTAAGGAATCCAACAGTAGTATCCTTAGGTGGCAAATTTTGTTCATCCATTTTTCAGGAAAGAGGTAAGAGTAATTACCTGAATACGTCTTTGTACAAGTGAGTTTCCTCCGCGAGTCTAGCCATCGTGCAAATCTGTCTGGCTTTATGGAACAAATCAAACAACAAACGTCCCTTTATGCTGTCCTTGACAGTATTTCCTAAGAGCCAAACAAGGATACTTGTATTAAAGATATCTGGACCACATCTTCATTATCACGAACAGTGGCAGACGGTTAGATATCTGCTTTATGTCAATAAGACTGTCCGTTAGAACATTTTTTCACCCGTGAATTTTAGCTAGACAACATAATTCAGGCGGACTGATCAATACCCGAACTTCACTAATTCTTGTCTGGTGCAGCACAAGCTTGCCTTTCTGCGTAATTTATTCCACAGCGCCAGACAGCCTTGTATCTCGAACGTAATGCGCTCAGATATTGTTTCTTAACTTTCCACATTTTTAACCCCCTGAAATCCGCATAACCAATCCCGTCCTCGGATATGCTGGATATCTAGGCGTCTTGCTTCCTAAATTTGCTCAACACGTTGATAGTCTATTCTAAATAGAGTGTACGTAGCTACCACATGCTGTTTATTGTTTGGAGATGACATACAGCTGCTTGGCTTGATGTAATCTGAAAACAGAATTTTATGGTTTCCCTAGCTCATAGTCCAAATCACTGTCGCGCCACACGCCAATTTAAGAGTTATAAGTCCTATCAGGTGTGGCTGTCTGTTTTTCCTGCTTTTCCTTTGTCTAGTTTTTCCTTTGTCTAGTTTGATTTTAGTATCCTTAAACCCAAGTTTATCAGTATGGATATGATTCCGGCTGGTTCTATTGCTTTCTTTATTCCATTCCCTCCCCGAACCCTCATCGCTCATCAGCTGACAAGGGCAGAAAAATGCCAATCAAATGGATGCCACCGGAGAGTATACACCATCGGCAATTCAGCGCAGCCTCTGATGTGTGGATGTTCGGTAACTACCCCACAGTCCAGGTCTATGTGTTGTGCAATGTTTATTGTGCCTTGATTGACAGAAAACAAGGCACCAGTGGATACAGTGTGTGATTGTCAGGTTTAGTATTGAGGCTGACTTCAACTTTTTCCAGTTTGAGTGATGTAATGCGTAGTGAACTTAACACTGCCCACCCATAATCATTAGAATTACATAACAATTGCGGCACTTTCTTGGTCTATAGTAATTGCATGGAACAAATTTTGATAACTTTATTTGTTATTTCTTATTAGTTAGGTATCCCAAATGAGCTGGTAGGCGTTGTCGGAACCCACAATTGTAGTGCCGTTTCAGTAAACACTGACAACGGTATCCCGGATGACAGAAGTAGGCGAACAAGTAGTATGGAAGAAAAACCATTGACTATGATGGGACAGAAAGTTGTAACCTAACATGTTTTTTGTTAAACTGACTTTCGTTAATGTCTTTGTTCCTATTGCGAATCCTCAGAATGAAGACTGCTCAAAACAGTAAAGTCAATTGTTTTGAGGGGACGTCATTCATCTATTCTGAACACTCAATGAGTTTCGGGCTTAAGGCAAGCAATAACTTGTTAGGTGACACAGCGTTTTAATCCGACGGTGGATTTCGGACTATTTGAAATTTATAACTCAAAGATCATTTATTCAAGACAATCCAAGAGTTCCCCCTTGCTCATATCTAGACTTGAGCAACTCAAAAACAATTCAGCCCTCTTACTTCCTTTGAACCTCGTGGCACCTATGAGCTGGAATTATGTCACAACTGAGAGACTGGTAATAATATTAGCGTTACTTGATTAAATTATGTAAATTGTCGGTTCGGTTTCTTATTGGATTTATTGCGTTAGAAACAGAAATCACTCGGTTACGTTCACAAGGGACAAAATCTTAAAAACAAGTAATCTCAGGATTTGCTTGCAAGTGCATTTCCAAATTAATATTTTACCCTGATAGAAGTAGGCATTAAAAAGCAGGTAGAATGTGGAATTTCGTTTATTTGTTGATATTTCGTAGCTCCGACCAATTTATCTGTTGTTGAACCGGAAGGCAGTCTGTGTGACACCTTTTAGGCTGAAAAACATTCAGATTTACTTGATTACCATTGCGAAGAATTCTCAGTTTGTCCGTAACCATTTTCCTTAGGTGAGTAGCTGCACGCGTCACATTTAACCGCAAACTTTTCGTCGAATATATCATTAATGATTTCACAGTTTTGCCTCTGATTTACTGGTTTCAGGAGTTTGCATGTGGGAAGTTATCACCGGGGGTGTAAAACCGTTTGCTGATCTGACGAACGCTGAAGCTGCTGATTTGGTTACAAGAGGGCATCGTTTAAAAAGACCCAACGTTTGTCCACCCAACCTTTACGCTCTGATGTTAGAATGTTGGAACGCCAATCCTCAACTCAGACCGAGGTTTTCTTCGCTGAAACCACGATTACGGTTAGTTTATGGATTGATACCTGATAAACCTTTAGAATAATGTCAGTCCATTAGTCCGTTGAGTGGAAATTGGGCGGTAGTATTTTATCCCACGAATTAGACAGTCAGTGTTGCGTAGCAAGATGTACTCGCATTGTACTGGTATCATTGTTTTTAAACTGCCATTCACCGATGAGTCACGAGTGAGATGGGCAACGCCCAGTGATGGCCGGTGCAGCATGACTATCCAAGGTCATCATTTATTCTCAAAACAATGTTCAGGCATCTTTGCTGCCAAATTTACATTAGGTTTTTTTCCCGGTCGTTTCTAAAATATTTCCAATTGGTTGAGAACTTTACTACTGTTGTAGTACGTTTCCCTGTGTTCCGAGTTATTCTATCGATAAGTCACACAGACGCTTGCATGTAACGACAGCGCACAGGACCAAACAAATGGTTTAAAAAGCTGAAAAAATGTGTAACGGAAAAAGTGAACTAACGTGTGAAAAACATGGTTTGTAGTTCGAGTGATGGATGGATAAAGCGCCTTAGGGCCCTCTTTAGGCTGCAGAACTGTTCACGCCAAGGACACATTGTTCGTGTATTTCTAGAATGTCGGCCCTTAGATGACAATAAAAACTAGAACTTCTATTTAGGTACAAGTTGTTGTCTCAACAACTAATTATCACATTCAAACAAATGATAACAGGGAATTAGAGAAATACACTCATTTGCAAACTAATTTGATTTTTCGAGAGACTCGCCTGGACCCCCTTTGAATGTTTCCAGTAGAACATACGGTTGACGGAACCTTGGGGACTGCGCCTACCTGATGAGCCGCAAGAAGGGCGAAACCGGTCCTAGGCTGTTGACGAATTTTCAGCAATCTTATGAGTAGTGCATCACAAGTAGACAACACGGAAGCTTTTGCCCCGCAAGCCAAACATTACTGTACAGCTGTTTCTTCCTTCATAAAAGCTCCCGGTTGTAAGAAACTCATACATCTTCAAAGTATTTTAAACCCGTATTTAGAATCATTATAAACTAGCGCATCGAGTGACTATTATTCGGAGAGAATGCACCCGTGACTCAAGATATTTCCTTTCCTAGGCTGTGACGAATTTTCAGCAATCTTATGAGTAGTGCATCACAAGTAGACAACACGGAAGCTTTTGCCCCGCAAGCCAAACATTACTGTACAGCTGTTTCTTCCTTCATAAAAGCTCCCGGTTGTAAGAAACTCATACATCTTCAAAGTATTTTAAACCCGTATTTAGAATCATTATAAACTAGCGCATCGAGTGACTATTATTCGGAGAGAATGCACCCGTGACTCAAGATATTTCCTTCATCTTTCAGCATTTTGGTATTAATTTATAGGTAATGAGAGCAATATGAAGTTTCAATCAAGATTTCATCCTGAGCATCAAGTCAGTCTAGGCTGAAAAGGCGGGATCCATTACGAGCCTTTCCACCCTTATTGACCGCTACCAGTAGCGTCCATTTTCTAAAGCTCTTTGATAGTTTAGAACACGCGCGCTTTTGGTTAGTAGCTTAATCGCCGTGTGGAAAAATGACCTAGTAAACGAATAGGTTGGATTTTACACTCGTCCCTTACTGGACCAGTACCAGCGCGCATCTTAGCTGACCAGATATTGGGAATAAGGGGGTGCGAGATCAAGTTGGACACTGATATTCAGATTCCTCATCCAAAATTAGGTGATTAGTCATTACCCTTGCTGACGCCTAATAGTAAGTAACAGTAAACGATCGGCCATTTTTCAGGCATGCCCGAGACAACTTCAGAAATTGCCAGTTTTGTTGCAAGTGATTTGTCGCCCCGCTAATATGGTTTAGATTACTATCCGTGGTTTTTAGCTAGCTGGCTGGCTTAGCATTTTTCGTTGCATGTTGGGTACGCATACCTCTGATATATTACTGACTGTCTTGTTCAATTGTCGCTTTGTTAATTCAATATGCCGAACTGTCTACTGCATGCCAAAAATACGGTCTGAACTAGACCATCGTCCACCAACTAGATGTATGCCACTGACTTTATGGAAAAAAGTTATCTTGCCGGAGTTTTGGCCTAGGCCGATCTGATCCTTCATTCTAGACCCTAGGGATGAAACTGTCTTCATTCTTCTTGGAGGAACATGTAATTACTTGTTTGAGAGTGAATGGTAAATCAATAACCTCGAGCCGTAATCTGATAGCTGAGTGTTCGGTTTTTGTTCGATCGAACAGCTTGACTTAACAAATTTCTTGTCGAGAACTCATATTCGTGTGTTCTTAATTCAAAAAGAACCGTAAGCTGTAGATTCTGAGGGTGAAAACAAATGTAGATAAATGGAGGATTATACTGACAAGTCTACTGATCTCGTAAATGATCCCGAATCACTGATGACTTCTACACTGCACTAAAGTGGAACTATTTGTCTGTTTAGAGCGGATAATTCTGGTGTGTTCCTCGACTGACTGTAACACGTTTGGCTCGGACGTCAAATACTATAAATCCCGCAATCAGTTACGTCTTGTCATCTATTAGGCAAATTAGCTACTTCTGATCAAGCAGACCGTATGCATTAGTATGGTTTAGCACAATGACACAAATTTCCGCCTTTTGTGTCGTTTATTTGCATCTCGCGTGCTTTAGTCTTGTCGTCCTCACGCCCACTGGCTAGCGATCTTAATTTGTAATAAAGGCAGTCACTCACAAAAGACATTGCAAAACATTGTAAGCAACATGGATAACAGCTCTAACATGATCATGCAAGCCAGTGATGGGTAATAGTTGCAATCTGTGTTGAACTTTATTCAGACAAGAGAACGCGTGAGGTTACTGGACGATATTTTGAAATCACGCCAATTTGACCGTTAGTCACGTAAGCAGGATTGAACCAATGTTACCTACGTTTAGCGTCAACAGCAAAGTCTATGTTGGTTTAAAACGCCCATTTCTTAAAGTATTGTATCAAGAAATCTGCGCAATTCCCCAAGTTTCGGAATTTTTGGCGCTGTCGATATTTGGAGTCAGACAAAGCGACATTACACCGAATTCACACTCGATAACAGGTTGCGATCATTTGGTTGAAAACGGAAAACCATTTCATACAGCGAATAGGCTGTAAAGCTGAACTATATTTTCTTTCGGAGTTACAGTCAGCCAATAGATTTGTAGGCCACTAGTGTTTTGACACTCACAATTTAGGCTAACTTTTTTGCCTAGCATGCTGATATTCTGTGGACGATTATGTCACACAGGTCTGTCAAAGTACCAAGGAGCCAGTCAAAACACTGTGTGGATTCCATAATTGCAGGGTGAATAATATTTTGTCCCATCTAATTGCGAGCTACCCACACTTTTCCCCAGGCGGTCCGTGCTGAACGATTTAAACCTCAACTACTAACCTGGGTGTCGCGAATTCGAATAATTCTGAAGATCCGTTAGACGCGACCCCAATAAGGATGACGCAGTTGCACAATATTTCTCGGTTTTTCGGCACTGATTGGCTTCACTAACAGAATGAAATCTCTCTCGAAAAACCCTTAGTCAGGATAGGTTGTCTTAGATTCACAACTTATCCTCACATTTCTTCACATAGGTCTTTTTTCTCCCATGTCTGCTTTTCAGAGAGCTGGCTGCGCAATCACGGAGTATAGCGGAGACGGAAAACATGAACGAAAGTAAGTCATTCGTTTCTTGTCGTACGTGTTAGTTCTGTCAGTCCATCAGTCTGATTCTGGTCAGAAAATTGCTAGCAAAGGAGACTGCACATTCTGGTCTGGGCCATTCCTACCCAATAATCCGGAAGAATGAGTAAACCCCTAATGTCATAGTTTATCACATTCTATTCTGTCAGTCCCATATTATTTAGGGGAAATTGCGAAACAGGAACACGGGCCGCTGCTTAACCCAGTGAAGGGTTGTTTTTCACAATGCATGTATGGCGTAGATAAGCAGAGACGTGTTCCTGCATGTTTATCTGCTTTCGAAAGTGAGTGAGGTTAAACTCGCAGACAGCCTCAAAAATCAATAGTCTAGTGGGTTCATGTGAATTCTCTGGAAAGGTGAATACCTGTGAATCTGTTCTCACTAATAACAGATCAATAAACTGAGCAAAATTTTTCGTTACAAATAGATGTACAAAAAGTCTGGAGTTCATTAGGTTGGAGTCATTGGGTTGAAGTAGAACATAAGGTTGACGGAAACTCGTGGAATGCGCCTACCTGATGAGTCCCAAGAAGGGCAAAACCGGTTGTGGGCTGTCGAAGAGTTTTCAGCAAGCTTGTGAGTAGTCACTGGGGACCTTTCTGGTTAAACTCCTCTCTAATCAAATCTCTACAAGAAGGAAAAGAGTTAATCACGTAGCGGAGGACACAGAATATTTCAGAGCAAAGTGCTCTTTTTGATACGATAGCCATGTGTTCAGCGGTTGGGTCGGTTTGACCAAAGTGTCCCACTGGTGGAGTTGAAAATGCTCAGTTCTAACCGGCGGTGGTTAAGCCGGAAACTTACACCCGCTTGTGAGTAAAAAAAATGCTTTGGACAAATTCGGACTCTAATACAATTTGGCTGAGAAACACCGCAGAATAACAAATGGGCTGACGCTTGCCCGGTAAAACCTATCCGTCCACACAGATTGCAGTGGTTGAATAGTCATCAAAAATGTACGGAGTAAAGATCTTACTTAAAGCCAGGAAGAAGCCAACGAAAAGCTAAGACATTTTCGTGTGCTGATTCCAAGGACAGAAACGAAATATGTTTGGCGTAATATGTCGCTCTTGAGGAGGTCTGTCCTCAAACCGGGGATCGAATCTTGCTGAATCGCTGTATCGTCAGATTTGTATCGTAGACATCCTATACCATGACACCCATTGTCATCAAAAAACTTTGTCTCCAATGAAGTTTGCAAGTCATTTCCATTTTTTTTCGTTCCTATTTTTCCTATGCAACGGAACATTTCCATGCTGAGGGCATACTTAGGCTCTGACGTATTCTCTGTTTTCCTCTGGTTTTACTCTCCTGGTTCGTTTCCGTGTACGGAATAATTGCATGGAAATCGTACCATGTAAATGCGACTGCCTCCTAACAGACTCTCATTTTTGGTAGTATAGTTATGACTTACTTTAAGGCCTCCAGTTCATCAGAGCCACAAGTTTTGGTTTCCAAAGAATGCTAATCCTATCAGCAGTCTCATAATCGTAAAGTGCCAAAGATGTTCAAAGGATAGGTTTGCTTCGTAGTGCGAGCCAACACATCGTTCAATAGCACGTCCCATTTGCAGCCCATTGATTGATAGGTTACGGAGTTGCTATTTTCATTTTTCAGTAGTTCGTAGTTTTTGTGCAGTCCTCATAATCAGGAGTTTAAATGTACTGGCCATTGTTCAATTAATTCTGCTTTAAAGTACTCTGTGTGTGCTCTCCTGAAGACGAGGCAAGAAGCTCTGCCCCTGGGTTTTCACACATTCTGCTCGCTTGCACTACTTCAGTTTTCCGCTTAAAGTAGACTCCGATGTCTTGACATCACTGGGAACTGTTATGAGTGAAAAGTAACCAACCTGGTAAGCTACGAAGCTGTCCATCTCTAAGTCCCAGTCTCTTTTCCCAACCCATGGCAAAAATAGACACACAAGTTGCCCCATCAACTTTTGCACTAGTTCGATGACAGCTATTCATCTGGATGCAGATATACTTCGAGATCGTGGCTGGGTCTACTGCATTACGGAGCGAGCTGAGTGAGATGAAAGCTAGACAGGATTCGATGCACATCATTCTTATTATAGATGCAGCAAGATTTTCGCCTTACCGATAAATCTAATTAGCCGAATAATATCAGATTAACCACTTCAAACTAATAAATCTGACAGTACCTACTGCAGATTGACTCCTATCAGTGAGCACTGTTGGTTTCGACGGCAATGATGAAGTTTAAGCAAGTCGACTGTTCCATGATAAGGCACATTATTCATGGTCATTCCGTTGTCTACGCTTGTTTGAAAACCCGGCTTCACTTCTACCCGTCTGATAAATCGTCCTAGTTATGTGGGCAGGCGATCTGATATTCCACTTGAAGTTGTATAAACTTTTTCACTTTATATTGCAGAATATTTACTTACAAAATTGGGGAACTGGATAGACCCCTCTTCGGAACCAGTCTAAAGAAACTAAGATTGGTGGTAAGACCTCAAAAAACATCCTCTTGATGAAGCAGTCCTCAATCTTTAACTGGGTTTGTCTGCTGATGTAAGTATAGTGCAACGCATGCTCAGTACCCACAAATTTAAATACCATTTTTGGGTGGATACTTTGAAGTGATCCGCCGCCTGTCCACGATGTGGCACGCGCGTATCCGCTGTAACAAAGTAAGGTACATAAAGCAGAGTGTGCAACTTATCAGATTAGGATTATTGGAACATGTGGTACACCTGATCTGTCACTATCAAAACCTTTGTTGGCAAATATCTTGTGAGGAACAATCTGGGATATGGAAACACCAGTTGAGAACAGCTGTAAGCAACCAGGGCGCTCAGCTGACTCTTCTTACACGTGACTGGAAACCCCACAGGGCGTGATTCCTACCTAATCCCAGTGATGGGCGTCTTTGGCTAAGGTTTGTGTTTACTCCCTAGCCTGCTCACTAAGTCAGTCCTTCTGTTAAACCAATGAGATTCTCAACTGGGTTTACTCCAGTGCTTTTCCAAATTTTTAGCAGTGTTCATATGGTCCCTTGATAATGATAATAAGTCTTCTAGAACAATATCCACGTCTTCCCATTTAAGTCCGCTATTAAATAGGTTGTGTTATTTTCTGTTGTATGACACTTAGACGCCAGTATTTCCTGATTGTTTAACGCATCTGTCATTGAGCACTGTGACAGTCGGCATCACAACCAATAAACTGTGCATAAGTATTCCATGATTATCAACTATATCAAGACCAACAATCGTTGAAACTGGCGGCTAGGTGGCTTGCGCTTGAAATCAGGAACTCATACTTTAAATTCCTCACAAAGATAGAACTCTGGATTTGTATTTGTACAGCCAGTTTAACTAGCATTTTAGCAGCTTAGACGCGAGATAGACCAAGTGGTTAGAGCGCGAATTTACTGACCGGAAGGTCCGTGGTTCGAACCCGACTTCTTCCTCTCGATTTACCCTGTCTAGACTTGGTCAACCTGGCAATATCCAAGCCCTCGTGCTTCCTTCGAGTGGCATAACAGCTAAGCACCGAAAAGGTGCTACAGCCGATTGGTTTAAATAAAAAAAAATTCAAAAAAGCTTAGATGCAGTGAGTGAGTTGCGAAGCGTCTATAACTTACCTTGTTGAAAATTCTATTCTTCTGCTGCGTATATGAGCAGACTTACAGCAGGACGAACAACCCTGTGGACTCCTGAGAACTGAAGGGGGTAGAACCACTTTATCAATCACCTTTGTGATCAAGTATACTCCCTGTGAACATTCCTGGATAGAGACCCCTTTTCAAAAGGAAGTCCCTATCGATCGGGTTACTCTAATCGGCCCGGACTGAAACTCACAGATGAAGGGGTTGGTTCGCTTGACTATTCATGTTGAAGTACACGGCATGGCTCCAGATAATTCGATGGTACTTTTGGTAATGAGTATCGTTCTGAGGTCATCAGGCACACAAACATCCAATCACATAAAAGAAGCAGATTGCACAAACAAGCAACCTCTATCTATCTTTCCAATAAATTTTAGATCCTTCAGAAGCAAGTGAACAACTTTTGTCCCAGGTAAGTCAAGTTATCAATTTTACCAACTTTCTCCCGGCAGTTTTACAGCCAGACATACAACATTGCCAATAGTTTGTGGTTCCACTTGACTGAGTTCATTATTTGTCAACCCAACAACGACTGACTCTGATGATCAAGCTGATTTTCTCGTTTTAGTGTAGTCAGTTAAATCAGTCAGCTAATTTACTTCAAATGGAATTTTATCCTAAAATTGAAGTCAGCCTACGTTGAGAAGCCGGTGAACACTTTAGGGGAGTCTAAATTTGTGCTTGTTTCATGATTTTACCGGAGGGTTCTAACCCGCAACCTTCAGGCTGGTTGTTATTGAACAATTCTGTTCGGTCACAAGTGACTGATCAGCAGTATTATTGATCAAGGTGTGACGGAATACAAATGTCGGAGGTCCTCACTTGCACAGTTAACACAACCTGATCCAGTGTTTGCCGGTTCCTTGTATTTCACGCAAGGTTCACGCGAATTAAGGGTTCTTTTCTGTAAGGGTTAATTGCGGTTCGCAGGTGATAAGGTTTCGAACATTTCATTTAAAGTCCAGCGTAAATTAACAAAGCTTGCTTAAAGAAATTTCACGTGAAGGCTCAGAGTCTGTACACTACTTACGGATAATTTGTTGCACACTTCATATTTCGCTTCGTGATATCAAACGGATTTTTGAGTGGGATCAGAATGTATTTGACCTACAACAGACAGACAAAGAAGGAGAATTCTAGTCCTCCCTACGACCCAGGCAAGATTCTGCTGGGATAGTGCAACAGGATATTATAAACCATCAACAAGCTGTACAGAAAGCAGTTGCCCCTTAAAGGAGGCAGCTCTGGATGATGTTGGCAACTCGTACTGTTCAGCAGGTTAAACGGTANGGTAGTATGGGCTGCACTAAGGATCAGTTTGTATACTACCATGCACTTTTGGTTACAAACACTCCATTCAGTTTTTCTGCTGCAGATATGAGCGTTTGAGGCTTCACCACAGGTAAATTAGTTTGATGCCTGAAATCGGTCACTTCGTGTTCAGGACATCCTCCCGAAGAATTGTGCCAGCAATGGTTGTTCCAGGTAGTGGCACAAGCTATAATTTGAGAGCCCCAGTGTATGGGTTTAGGCGACCGGAATCCTGCCATCTTTAACCCTACTGTTCCAGAGATATGCGATTTTCTTCTTTTTCTTAGGTTTAGATAAAATATTTGAGATACCTTGCTGTCCATCTGCTTTGCAGTGTCTTTTTTGAAGAACCTGCTTCTCACGTATTCCTAAGAGTGAACAACTAGACAATTGAGCATGTTTCATCCAACCTTATGTGCGTCCTAAAACACCCCTGATGTTGAATGCACAATGACTGCAATTAGCGTATTAAGTTTATATCAAGCTGTAAAGCAATTTAAGTCAAACGAACCTTTGAGACCAAACCTCGATTGGAAGCGCTTTTTCGATGTCACTGAACACGCACTCACACGCGTCGTGATCTGGCGCAGTTGCAGAACATTCAGGGAAATTCTCAGTTATGGCTATCAGACATCTGCCTAATACAAGACTAACTAACCAGTTTGGAATATGATAAATTCTGCCTAGTTAGTCTGTGTTGGCAATGACGCTTATCAAAATCTGCTAAGTAAGTTTATCTTATTCAGCCACTAGCCAACTAATGGCAGCGAACTGTGAAAAGAACAGGTTAATAAAAGGTTAACCACGCGACAATGGAGTCCATCCCTGAACCATGCTTAGTGTCTCTCGTTCCAGTCAGACGGATTGTTTATGAATTTTGTAGGTGTCTATATAATATGCTCAGCAGAAATTTAGGAATCTTCACCAGATGATACTTTTGCCGTATATCACTCATATCCTGGGAACTGACTGAAGACAATTAGGAGGAAAGAACATCAAGTCGTTTAAGACTGGTCGTTGTGAATTTTACATGACCGGACCAATTTTTTGACCTCAGGAGGTAAATCCTTGCTGAATTTAGGCTGTTATGTTTTCAAACCTCAAACTAGTTGGAAAGTGAATTTTCAGTGCTATTCCACTCACCATAACTGATACCATTATTCCGCCTAGGGTAAAATTTACGTCAATCTTCAAGGAACTTCATTTAATGTACCCACTTGTCAAAACTTCTCAGTACCAAATACTTTCATTTCTCTCCAGCTCATAGAAGAAGCAAACATAGGAGAGGATGAAAATCACAGGTTATTGGATCAAAACACGGCAGAAACGCTCCTGAGGAACCGTGTTGACACACCCTCTCTGACAGAACAAAATTGGGTCCCAAATAACTGTAGTCGATGGGAAGAAGTGACGGAATTAGAAGACCGGACAAATGGCAGATATCCAATCACTGATAATACAGGTTTGGTCAGTGAAGGTCCTTTTTCCAGACGGAGAGTTGTTCAGCTCCGTGAGGGTTCAAATAGACGTGGCCTTGGGCGTTCCACTTCAGTTGGACGGGCTGATTCTGGACGAAACCACTGCAACTCGGTATGAACTATTTTTGACCCGGTCATTCAAATATTCGTATCTGTTTGCGCAATGTTTTCATTGAGTTAAGTGATGACAGGGGAACAATTTCATACCTTGAGGTGTATCAAGTGACGTTTTGGTCGCCTCCAGTGGTCTACATTCCACTTTAATTGGTTAACACCGGTAGCTGATCACCGACTATGACACTTTAACGGGGACCGCACTGAAATTTTGTTTTTCCTCGAAAAACACTTTCTTTTCAGGCTCTTAAGTTTAGGAATTCCGTGGCTGCACGGTTTGCGTTTCCATTCCAAACGTTTCAGATTGTTCCTTTGCGTTTTAATCTTCTACGCCAACCCAGGTTGCTCGCTTATGAGTCAGTAATTGGTAAGAGCTATGTTCTAAGTCCCATTAGTGGTGTTTAGGTATAACTCGATCGAGAATACTGTTAAGTGGTCACTCACTCTGTCCCTCTTTTTCCATCTCGAAGAGAAGCAAGTAGATGAGGCCACTTTGTTGTTGTAGGTCAGTGGGGATGACATGTATACGGTGTCCTCATGCGCAGCCATACTACCTAATTAAACCAGATGGAGAGTAGTGGAAAGCATTGAATTTTGGAAGACCTCTTCTCCATACTGAAACCAAAAGAATGATTAGCTCAACGGTACACCAAATGGAGGATTTCCTCTCAGCAAAACCAGTCTGAGATTCCACTTATAGTCGTCGATACATGTTTACCTTACAAGCTTCTTTAAGTACCTACAACAGAATGGTGTTTGGAGTTAGTTGCCTCATTTCTTGATCATTACTCAACCCAGCAGTCTCTATTCGAGTTGTCTAAAGCCCTGCCATTTGTCGGAAAACGGTCTGAGTATAAGCACTTAATCGTTGTAGATGACAGTGATTGCCTCTGTGCTGCTATTACTGAAACCGATTCTTCTTAGTTTTCAATACGATTTGGGAATGGTTAAAATTTTCTTGGTTATTACACAGATTATTACCTCTGTAACTCTCCGCCGTTCTTCAAATGTTTTCAACTAGAGTTCATTGTTAAATCCCTCCACCAAATTAACCCCTTTTTTGCAGGGTTCTTACATCCAAGGATAAAATGTTCTTGACTGCAGCATATCCCTCAATAGGTTGTTTCTAGAGCAGCGCACATGACCAGCAGTGCATACAAATTGCATTGTTTTCTCTCGCAAATAAGCTGACGAAACTGTAATTGCTACCTTTTTAGCCTACATATCTGTCCCGTGACACCCAAATTAATTCTGTCGGGTGTTCCACGGCTTGCTGTGACATACCCGAGATGCATGTGTGAAAAGGGAACAATACTTTTATTGTGTGACTTTTGATACAACGTCCTCTTTTGCTATGGTCCTTCCCACTGTCTAGAGATCCTCATTTCTCGTTAGTTTTAATATGTTTCATGAATTTCGATTCCTTGTTTGATTGGCCGATCACCAAACAGCAAGGGTGAAGTGCAAAATGCAAGGTGCAATACATTAGGGCGGGAAGCTGAATGGGAACAGAGCGAGGACAGAGCTGGTTGTCAGTTCGTCTGCATGTTGATACAAGCTGCACTACACCCGAATCGTTAACAATGCATGGGTTCACTACCTCCAGTGAAGGCTATGCTAAATAGTTGGGCTAGAAAGTAGAGAGATGGCGGATGGCTCTCGCAAAACAATCTAGCGAGCTTTACCTGATTATAAACAGCAATTTAGGTTTGCTTTGTCCTGCCGGATATACTGAATATAAAGTGGCAAAATTTGATAATGCCCACACCATGTTCATTGGAATCGAGCTTGACTAGATGGCGCATTCGTTGTGGTTGGCTAAACTTAACATTAGAGCTACTTTACAACTCATCGTTTTGATCACCACGAGTGAACTTAGTCGGAAGGCAAAAAATCAGACTCACAAGCGATTAAAAACATAAGACGTCCGGCATCTCTCCGTGGGAGGTAAGCTTTCAAGGTTCTTTGCTAGCGAATGTGCCCCAGTAACATCTGTGGGCTGCAGTACCGACCAGATGGCTACGCAATCGGATGATTTTTATAAGCCGTCATTACGCAATGGATGTGGACCGAGTTCAAAATCTGATAGACACACGACGGTTTCCGCAGTTCTCTCTGAACAATTGAGCTGTCTGTTTTTCTTCTGAACGATTTCGTTCTGTTATATTTTCTCAATCGGCCTTCATTTGCAGTGATATTTTGCTCAATTTTGTGATACGCAGAAAATAGGTATCGGAGCCATCGCGCACATCTTCCCATCTGCGTGGGGTTTAAGCTACTTACAGGGTTCGAGTAGTAAACTTTCAACGCAGAAGCAGTCACGTAACAGCGAATGTGGCAATTCGCAGTTGATATTTTGAATTGATTTTACCGCATAATATTAACATAAATCAAGAGATTTTTCTAATATAAATTCTGGGTAACATCACTCTACTGGTATGCCAATTATGCACTGTTAGCTTACTACACTTAGCAAGCAGATACTGACCATTCTTCTCTCGTTGGCGTAACAGCGATGTGGCAATTCGCAGTTGATATTTTGAATTGATTTTACCGCATAATATTAACATAAATCAAGAGATTTTTCTAATATAAATTCTGGGTAACATCACTCTACTGGTATGCCAATTATGCACTGTTAGCTTACTACACTTAGCAAGCAGATACTGACCATTCTTCTCTCGTTGGAGAACCGTGTCGAGCATAGCCACCCACGTTACTGCTCCCATAGTAGATAATCAAAGTTCTTGTGGGGCCTCAAAGCCTATAGCAACAATGTGTTGTTCCTTGGAAACTTGCATCAAAAGTGTTTTAAACAATATTTGGTTGGTTGTCCGTCCTGCTCGCTGGGAGGTCTGCTTTACACTTGTCGGTGGTCCGACGGCTGTCCACCTTGAAGCAAACCACTTCCAGGGAGAAATCCCCGCTTACAGAAGACCAATGTTCCCTAAACTGACTACTTCAGCGAACTATCCTAGGTCCGCTGGCCTATCACTAACTACTTGTGAAGCACGCTGATCTTGCTGCAATCACTGTGAAATGGCAAAATCTGGCTCGTCAGCACAATCCTGTTTGCAGTCTCAGAATAACTGAATGAATGAATCTCGTTATGGGTCCTGTTGCTAACCGATCTAGTCAGCTAATGAATGGAAGGTTAAATACTCTTGATCTGTTATCCGAACATGCTGTTAGCATACCTAGTTATCATAACTTAGAAGAGGGACTGTGGATGCCGTATCCGAACCGGCGACAAATTATCTTTCCATATCAGACCACTGATCGGGGATCTGTTAACACGTACTGCGTCAGAGAAGGTCACCCTGACTGAACATGGTACGGCTACCAAGAACCAGGCATCTTTAACATAATTTGTGGGCCAGGAAAGGGTACGTTTTTCAGTGTAGCGCGAGCAGTATGATGAAACGGGCGGACTTTTGGACTTCATGACATACCTCTGGTGAGCAACATGTTGCCACAGGTACAAGCAGATAATGTGCCATTTAACCGATGGGCATTGGAAAAAGTTGATGGTTACTTGACTTACGAATCTATTTGAGGCTCGTGGATTTGTAACAAAAGTCACGCCTTAAATTGAAACCCCCTGTGGAGCTGCTCACCTCTCAACTCATGGACACTACTGAACAGAAGTTCGTGTCAACCGAAATCGCTAAGTATCATAACGGCTTAGCTCGATAGTGTGGAAGAGAAAATCCATTCTCTAGCTAATCCCTTGAACAGAGCTGGAATAAGAAAGCTGATTGAGGTACCAAAGTGTTAAAGAAATGCTTGAGTCGATTCAACCTACTGAACCAAGTTACCAAAGCCTGTTTTGTAACATCAAGGCAAGAAGACCAAAGCTATTTAGTGATGAATGTTTCTCTGTCCCCTCCAACGTGATTATTAAAGGTATAGTGGATATAAACCAACGGATATATTCAGTCAAAACGGGATTGGTTTGTTCTTTGGCGCACGGCCCAGGAGTATTCTTATTCAGAGATCCGAAGCCTACGATCAAACTAGTGAATGTTGCCGTCCTGCCAAGCTGCCAAGGAATGGCTATCACACCCCCAATGTAGAGGCTAACATGTCTCAATAATGCGAATAGTTTCAAGATGAGATATGGTGTTACACCAGTAAATTGTCAACATGAATAATTTTTTTCGTAGGATGTCTCCGAAGGCTCAATAACAAAGTCCTCCGGCAGAAGAAGGGAGCTCTAGTAATCCTGCGTAACTTCACCATATATCGACTTATTCAGCCATGCAAGTTCAATTTGAGTTTCCTACCACCAAACAAATCTTCCTGTCCGCATATGTTAGAAGCCAAGGTCATTCAGCTCGAAAAAATGGATAATCGATCATAGCTTTTTTTCTCAGTTCTCGTTTAGTGAAAGCAATGTTACTTTGAGCTCTCTCCTCAGCTAGGCTCCATTTTTAGACGTCTTTGTATGGATCCGAAACGCCTGAAGCAATTCACTAATTACTCCCTAAAGTTGACAAAAGAAAAATTACTTAATTCAACCGACTGTCATTGCTGAGTTTACCAATAACCTCGAAACCCAGTGACTTATCCACAATCAAGTTAGATGAGCCTGAATCCCAAAAACTACGGAGCCACCAGAGGGGTTCCAGTTTAATGATTCCCGTCTAGACAGTGTCCGTGAATTTCACCATTTAGACAATCCAAGCGAAGGACATTTGAGTAAAAAAGGAGGACGAATCGGCGACAGCACCAAATATTACACTGCATCACAATTTCCCGGTTAGGAAATCTGCAATTCACCAACGTTTGGGTATGCTTCTAGAGGTGAATAATATTTAGAAGTAATTCTGAGCTTTATCAGGAGAGAGACCGCTTTGGATGTTTTTTAAATAACTACTTGTGTTCGGTGTACCAAGTGCCTTCAAACGACTGGTTGAGAAGGGATACCGCTGGAAAAAGCTACTATTTATGGAAAGCTTAAGGTCATAATACTACTTAGTGGAACAATAAAATCTGGGCCAATTTTGACCCGGAACTCTTTTTAATTTCTTGAGACACCGCATAAATCACAATTGAATAACGGTCATGATCATCGAAGACTCAGTTCGGATTTGAAAGGCTTGTTGACGTATAAAGTTGCCGACGCTAGGAGGTAAGTGATCTGCCGGTAACTGTGTCATACGTGGGGTGGGGATAAGTAAATAAATCGAAAAAGGGTAAATCCCAAATGTTCATTGCAATTCATAAGTCCCATGCATGCTTTGAACTTTACGGATCAGTAGAAAGTGTCGAGGTCTAGGATTCATACAAACCGAAGTGTTTCTGAATACGTCCTGGTTAGAAAAGATTTCTTTGTGCTCTTCGTGAACTGCATTATCTCTTCACCTACCGCATACGCTCACTTTCACAACTGACTTTTGAGTTGATTTTCAGCTTCGGTAGTATCATCCTCTTTGCTTGCCACATTTCAGAATTCTTCCACTCGTCGCTCTTTCCGAAAACCTTCCTCCTCTGCGGACGCACAGGCAGCATGCTCGTATTTGCATGGTGTACCGAACCTGACCACAGATCCCTCACCATGTCGACGGGTAGGCCAGCGGAGTCCGGTTTTCCGTATGTGTTGTACAGCAAGTGCACGGTGAATATAAAAAGGCTCACACCTTAGTAACTATCACGCACGACTGTCTTCATTAGATTACAAGGTATTGTTGTGTAATGATGATCACTACCTCACAGGTAATCTTTTCATGCTTCCAAAATTTTCCTTTCGAAATGGACATGAATCCTGCTCCATACAAACACCACCTCTGAGCAGGAACCGGTGCCGATACGGTAGAGACCTTTCTTCCAATAAAATGGCAGACGCACCATCAGCAGTCAAGTTCACTACTCGTACCTTGACTTCTCATCGCCCGTTTCTTGTTATTGGACCCAAAAACAGATACAGTTACGCTCTGGAAAATTGACGTTGAATTGAGTTAGTTTGCCGTCTGTATCCATTTCCGTCGACTGCACACTGATATGCCCAAGTGTATCTTAATGTATCCAAATGTATCGCAACTTGACTCCTACCGTTCCTGTAGCACATCATCGAGAGACCGTGTATACCATTTCAACTGGTGCGCGATTTTTAAACGGATTTTTAAACGGATTTTTAAACGGGTTATGAAAACGGGATACTTTATATTCCTCAATTACAGCGAATGCACGCACGATGACACACACTGTTTTTACATTGTTTGCTACAATCTTCGAAGTCAGCAGTCGTACCCGATGCAATCGAATCACATTAAGGTTACAGGGGACGGTTGATAGTGGAAATTCGGGTAGCTTGGATGTACAACGAGTGCGTCAAACTGTAGAATTGCGCCGAACTCAGCTAGTAAAAATTTTGCATTCCAATGGTCTGATAACCCTACTGTATATGGAACTTCAGCAAAATTTACATTCGTCGTAGCTAACCACACGTGCTGTGAATACCGTCTGAAAACTAGTCGATTGGAACCCACAGATCCGCGGCTTACTCAGCTAGTTGAACAAATACACTGTCCGGACCAGAATGGGTCAGTTAAGGTTGTGTGTAATATAAACCAGAACAGGATCAAATAACCAAAGAGAAGAGGTTACAAAAGCACCCGGTGAACTACGAGGCAGCGACGTCGGGTCAAAACACAGTCTGTTTCGATGTTGTTTGTCTCGACCTGAGACAATATGTGGACTATCCTGCAGTTGGAATAAAAACGGAGTTACATTCGATGTCGCTTGTCACTGCAGTTGTGCATCTTCACAATTAGGACATTTAGAAGAGATATGCAACTATTTCAATATAGACACACTGGCTACTATCCAATGAACTGACACTTATCCATTCAGATCAAAACGTGCGACCGCTTTGTGACGGTACCTATCATGCTTGTAAAATTAATAATACACTGCAACTTTCGTACAACTTGCAATATGACCAAAGTTTCCCTTTCATCGAAAAACGGGTTAGTGACAGTCTAGGTGGACGCAAAAGACGTCCGTTTGGATCAGCTTGGTTTAAAATCATGAGTCGTAAACACCAACCACTCTCAGGAACTAATACATCCCGTTGGTCAGATAGCTAGTGGTCGTTGCTGTTGTATCGAATTTTCCAGTGTATCCCCATAGTTCCTTTTAGGTTGCTGGAAAAATTAAATTCCAGTACTTGCCGATAGAATTTAGCTATTTGAATCACCAACCACGTTTTGTCACAGCACATTCAAGACAGCCACTGCTTTTACAGGGGTCATATTCCATCATGAGTTCTTTTGAAGAAACCGCTGTTTAGCGAAATACACTGATTTGCAAACAACTTTGGTTCTGCAGGAGACTCACCTGGAACCGACATGGACAAGAAAACACGAAATTAAGAACGGAAAACACTCAGCTATGAAGGATTTTCGTTAATTTTAAGTTAACACCGCATTTCATCTTCCCCAATATGGTTTTCATGCCGGCGTGGTGCTACACTTAACGCTGGAAACTGAGAGCTGAAACGTCACCTGACTAGTTCTTCATAGTCCCTTTACTCAGCTTCATCAACCTAGAATTTGTAACGGAATTCTCTTTCTGGACTTGCCAAATCACACAAGTACTGATAAACTTCGTTTTCTCAAGAGACTGGCTCGTTGAGTACACGGAAAAGCCAGTACCACGTTAAGTAAGGTAGGCATAAGTTCTGTACATCATTCAGAAATCGCATAAGTTTGCTCTCATTTCACTCATCAACAAACAACATTCCGAGGAAGAAATATTCACTGCAAGATGCCAGTAACTTTGGATACTGATGTCCGTGCAACAATCAAAGCGGGAATGAAAGAAGTCTCCAACCTATGCAGTTTTCGGTTGATGGTTCACTGACAACCGGCCATCACCAATTAAGAGGTAAGGAAATAAATCACAAAAAAAACAGTTGGGTTCAAATTCATCTCTTTGATGTTTGCTGTTATCTTCGTGCACAAAAGAAAACTACTCTATTCAAGGGCATTAATGGTCTTCAGACCTTGTGTATAAGTTCAACTATCAACCACCAACGCAGGAGAAAAATGCATTTAATTAAGACACAACGTTCCAACCAGCCAAACATTTGGCGGAACTAACGGAATGGTGGCTCATCCACAATGCACTAAAATCGACACCATGGCTGGGGCGTTTGTGTCGTTTGAGGCATCCGGATATATCTATACAACGATTGAGCATCACCCTTCTCACACAGACGACGATGAAGACTAAGACGATTATGATCACGAAATTATAGGACACATTGCTTTGCCCCTAACGGGTTAATGACGTCGTTGTTGCAGTTGTTTTGATTGATCTGATTAACTGTAAGCACCTATCTGTTGGATACCAACTTGTTTTTATCCGTCGTCGAACATTTGCTGCTTCCAGTGAATCTCTTGTGGAAATAGGTTAATACTTCACCTGATTGTGTTGTCCGTTAACGTTTTAAAAACTGTCTCATTTTGAAATGAAGTGATTAAACTAAAACAGATGTGTTGCGGACTTCTTTCGGGTTTTGTTAGGGATGGTATGGACGTTGGGGGACCATCGTAATCTGTGCTTTTTGGTAAACGCTTTCAAAGGGCAACACTGCAACCGTACAAACACTGAGGTTTTAACTGTCCGTTTCGTATATGACTGAAAGCAGTTTCCATTGACTTGCAGATTTTCCTTCTCTTATCAAACTGGTTTCACGTTATCACCACATCTCAAACACTTAATATCCTGTTTTCCAGGACGTGAAAACCTATCCGGCAGTCCGACTTGACGAATGTAAGTTTACTAGACATTTTGATACCAATTTGGTTGAATCAGTGTTATATTAACGGTCACTTAATATGATGTAATTAGAATGAGAGCTCTTACGGATTTGACGACACAGAGCTTGCGTCTGGTGACAGTAGGTGACATTCAAACATTTTCTCCTGGAAAGGGATTACTAGTGAACAATACCGACTTAACAAACGTACTGTTTAAAACAGACCGTGTGTTGCTAAAAAGAACCAAAAACTTGCATTTATACTTCACTCCGAGAGAAATTCGTGAGTTCTGAACCCTTGGATTCGCAGCATTGGATTGGATTCAGCTTGGATTCAGCATTTTGGCCAAAGTTGATTAGTCCATCAAAATACCCCAGGTTCACTTGCAAACATAGGTCGTGACTCTAGTGATGGCACACTGTAGTTCTGTATATTGCTTATAATGTATTACATATCGTAATCAACCGCATTTGGATGATTCGTATTTTATTCCCGCGACGGTTGCAAACGATACTGTATTCTGCTTGATGAATTCACTTAACTCACAAGTTGACATAAACCCAAAAAATAGTCTAAAATTTGCACTAATGTTGAATGAAGTTTTTACAGGTCAATCAAATTCATCTGGAGCTTCCAAACGTTTTATTTTCAATATGGACTATCCTCAAACTAGGACAGTTATTATCTACTCAGCCAAAGCTACAAACGTTCGATTCGAAAATTCATGGTCTCATTTTAAGCTTAAAATGAGGAGACGAAATTCAAAAGCAAACCGACCTCTTTCGCAAATTTAGGACCGTAGTTTTGGTTGAATTACATACATGAAAAGGCACTTGATTCTCACTGACCGCCTGATAATCATCTCATCCTTGATAAACTATCGGTTTCAGGTGGTAGTGTATATTCATGAAAAAAGACCTCATTTTGTTAAATCTCTACAAGCCAACCCCTAGGTTTTCCGACTGTATGAGAGCCGAAAGCTATAGATATCGCCGATATCTCCACGTTGTTCACTGGCCAATGGTTCCTGAGGATGGTCCACAGTACTTCACCCGTAATTTCCGCACATCTTTATTCCGCACTACACTCCACTGAGGTCAAAACGGCTAATTTGGAGACGCTACTAAAAATATTCTGACTGTCAGGGATAATGTATATTTTAAAAGTTAAATCGTATATAATTAGCATGATTTCTAATTAGTCAACCGTGTACAAATGTGTGGTATGCGAGCTATATTTCCCTCTTTTGTATCATGCATTTTCCCTCCGAAATATTACATTAAAACTTTAGCGGCTTGCTGACGTGCTAACTTTTTCATACCTTATCCTATCAGTTTTGCAGCTAAATGACTCTTCTACACCCGAACATCAAAGACAGAAAACATCTGCCTGGTTGGCTACTGAATCTCCCACACGATGGAACCCAAGAAATGGTACGGAACACAGTAGTGCGACCAGCCCAAGTTCGATGGAAGTGACAACGCTGCCACGAATTGCGAAGAATCAGGCTGATGACCCTATATATCGAGCTACAGTTCAGGTGGTCAAGACCGTCCGTGTAGCTAGCCAACAACTGATGTCAGCGACGCCCGAAACTTATGCCCTTTTGGCGAAGGTGAGCCCGAAAACTGAACCCGGTGTTTTGTTTCATCATCGATCAATATTCTATCCCACTATGTTCACTGATCCATGGATGAACTGAACGTTATTGTAGGTTTGACACTTTGAGAATTCCATCAAATTAATTATGTTTTATCTTTCATATTTCGCATATTTTTTCACCAAATGTGACCTAAAATTTCTCTCTAGTTGCAAGTTGATTTCATTCGAATCATTTTTATTTGAATTATACCAATATTCTAATGCATACTTCTGTTCATTTGAAACAACAAGATTATTCATAAAGCTGTGAATGAAAAAATTCGTCGGTAACTTGTTACCAGCTTTGTTCTGCCAGAAAAAATTATCGGCCCCATAATTTTTAATGAGCTTATATCGAACAGAAACATCAAATTCTCGTTAGCACACTGCGATTGTGTTATTGTGCGACATAATGGAAATCTTCGTTCGTACCTTAGATCAGCCAAGGTTGTAACAGGAAGATATTTATCTGAGCCTCGTGACAGCAGCATCCCAGTTTACAACTGAGTAGCATCACTAATGAGCTGCCAGACTGTCTAAGCCTGGGCACAAGCAGTCGGGATGCTGAGGTCTAACTCGAACCATGGACCTTCCTATCCGTAATTTCGGGTCTTAAGCACTTTGCTAAGATTTATAATATCTATTCTCTCAATCCACTTGTTAGCAGTTAAGACTGAAATTCCATTTCTACCTTATGAATGCAACGAACTGCACCTGAGTCATCATCCGAACATCTTGTGCATCTAGTTGTATGAATGCTAATTGTCATTTGAATTACCATTGGCACTGTATGGTCATTCATCTTTAGAGGAAAATAGCTATAGAAAGAGCCAAGAACTGACGTGTGAAGTCGGTGCCAAATAAAGGCGTTTTTCGTCTTAATGCTGTTGAGCAATGAAGCATAAGTACTATTCCCTCAAACAGCTACCATCACAGTGAACCCCCTCATGAACAAGCTGTCTTTGAGACAGGTGATATCCCTTAGTTCCTCTTCAGGAATATCGTTTAAACCTCACATCAGATTCACAGTTCAGTGAGTTGAGTGTAGGTTCCCATAACCCTAGGTAACATTACCTGTTCCGTTTGGTAAGGGTCATCTAGGTGAACAGAATAGCACTGCCACCTAATCCTCTCACGTTTCTCGAGCTATCTGTTCACGGAACCACTACGTACCATTAATGATGACCTTTGTTAATTGTACTGGCTTGAAGAAAAAAGAAGGTTCTCTTAGAGATTGATCTTCTGGTGCTGCTATGAATCATGGAAAGCGGTCTGTAAGTCTGAGTGTCATCTTAGAGTCTTTTTATGCATTTGCTGAGAAGCACAGGAAGTTGTGCTAGCATATACAAGGCATTAGCTAACATATCACTTTGGCAGTCTTCATATGTAACTATTGCACTCATCAGTAACGCTTAAATGAACACAGGTTTCTGTCGTTATCACACAAGAAGATACGAAGAAGACGCAGGTGGAACAACATTATGGGGATGACTGTGCCATCTGCAATGTACAGACATTAGTCCACCGTGGGTTTCATTGAAACATATCAGAGGTTGAAGTCATTCAAAGGAAGTAAAAACCCATGGATAAAGAGGCAACCAGGATACAGTCGTCAAATTAACAATGGAGTATTTTAAATTTCGTATTGCCAACTAAGCCGGATGTTCTAGCAGAGTGACTGTCCTATTAGTGGGTGAAGTCTTACTGGGTTCTGCGCTAGTCCGCTCGAAATGAAATTCAGTAAGTCACTCACCGAATTGATGCGTTATCGAACGCACTTCCCTAAATCATCGGTGAACGAAACTTTTGCAGCTACAACCACTGTACAACAAACACGCGATTATTACCGCTGACAATGATGATGATGAATGCACCTTTCATGTATGCCCAGGACTAATGCAGTCTTGTGTTCGTTCTCAGTTATACGTTAACTTTCGAACGTCTGGGCTTACCTTTTTGGAGGATGGCGACATGCTGACAGTCTTGTGCATCTAGTTGTATGAATGCTAATTGTCATTTGAATTACCATTGGCACTGTATGGTCATTCATCTTTAGAGGAAAATAGTTATAGAAAGAGCCAAGAAGTGACGTGTGAAGTCGGTGCCAAATAAAGGCGTTTTTCGTCTTAATGCTGTTGAGCAATGAAGCATAAGTACTATTCCCTCAAACAGCTACCATCACAGTGAACCCCCTCATGAACAAGCTGTCTTTGAGACAGGTGATATCCCTTAGTTCCTCTTCAGGAATATCGTTTAAACCTCACATCAGATTCACAGTTCAGTGAGTTGAGTGTAGGTTCCCATAACCCTAGGTAACATTACCTGTTCCGTTTGGTAAGGGTCATCTAGGTGAACAGAATAGCACTGCCACCTAATCCTCTCACGTTTCTCGAGCTATCTGTTCACGGAACCACTACGTACCATTAATGATGACCTTTGTTACTTGTACTGGCTTGAAGGAACAAGAAGGTTCACTTAGAGATTGATTTTCTGGTGCTGCTATGAATCATGGAAAGCGGTCTGTAAGTCTGAGTGTCATCTTAGAGTCTTTTTATGCATTTGCTGAGAAGCACAGGAAGTTGTGCTAGCATATACAAGGCATTAGCTAACATATCACTTTGGCAGTCTTCATATGTAACTATTGCACTCATCAGTAACGCTTAAATGAACACAGGTTTCTGTCGTTATCACACAAGAAGATACGAAGAAGACGCAGGTGGAACAACATTATGGGGATGACTGTGCCATCTGCAATGTACAGACATTAGTCCACCGTGGGTTTCATTGAAACATATCAGAGGTTGAAGTCATTCAAAGGAAGTAAAAACCCATGGATAAAGAGGCAACCAGGATACAGTCGTCAAATTAACAATGGAGTATTTTAAATTTCGTATTGCCAACTAAGCCGGATGTTCTAGCAGAGTGACTGTCCTATTAGTGGGTGAAGTCTTACTGGGTTCTGCGCTAGTCCGCTCGAAATGAAATTCAGTAAGTCACTCACCGAATTGATGCGTTATCGAACGCACTTCCCTAAATCATCGGTGAACGAAACTTTTGCAGCTACAACCACTGTACAACAAACACGCGATTATTACCGCTGACAATGATGATGATGAATGCACCTTTCATGTATGCCCAGGACTAATGCAGTCTTGTGTTCGTTCTCAGTTATACGTTAACTTTCGAACGTCTGGGCTTACCTTTTTGGAGGATGGCGACATGCTGACAGTTCCAGTGACGACCCCAGTGGAGTATATTTAACTGAAGGCTGTTCAAGGTGCTTGTTCCTCACCTCAAGTCTCACAGGGCGTTTTTCAAATCACTCAATATCCTATTTTCCTTCTCTTTTTTATTAAGGCTTTTTCCATGTTTGCGTGTCATTTAGGTACTAGCATTTATTACTGTGCACTGTAACTTGTAATGGCACTGGTGATAATAACGATGGTAAGATATAGATTATTCTAATTTAAGTCCCCCCAAAAAAAAACAATAGTACGTCAGTGCTCTTGAATATCGGTACATTGTGAAACGCCACATTGTGTGGTACGTAGCATATGTCGGTGACACAACGTACAGTGTAACACAGCTATTTGTTGTTGAGTGTACAAAATTTTCAGCCGGAACATGGCGATTGGTGAACTCTGCTCAGAGATCAAGTTTGATGCAGCGCCAGTGCATTAATGTGCTCTTCTTTCTTTTTGTCAATTTCTAGAGCATCGGTGCTGCTGTCAAAGATCTTCTCACTGCCGTTCACACTCACTTCAGTTCTGAATCCACCATCAATGAAGTAAGTGATATCATTCATCCGAGAGAAGTTGGAATGTATGTAATTACTCTTACGTTCCGAAACTGTGTTAGTTAGACCCGACCTCTAATTCTATTTAGAGCTGCTCGATTACTGATCTCGGATTCATTCTGATGATCGTGCAATGGTTGATATATTTGCGAGTCCGATTTTCTTACTCTAAGTCAACCAATGGAGATAAAAAGGGGGAATTCTACGGCTGATGCATTCCATGAATGATTCCGACCAGTCAATGAGGGCTGGCTCAGTGAATTGGAGGGTCAGGCCAACCTTACTTAAGTCTGACGTCGTGGTTGATCAGCTGCAAGGACCCCATGCATATCAACACAAGTTTACTTTTCTGTGGTATGTATGGCCTACTCACCCAACCATTAGTCAACATTATTTGCGAAGTCCATTCGGGCCTTTTGGTTTTTTGTTCCTCTTTGAATACCATAACAAATTATGAATAAAATGGCGAAAATAAAGCAAACAGCAGTGTTGATCGTTACCTTCATTTAAAAAGAAATGCACGCGTGATTGGCACAGAGTTAACATCGACGACAAAACTGTCTGTGATGGCAATGGAGCACTTAAGTTCGGACGATGCGGACAGAATCTACAACTTATCTATCTGTGCCCGTGATTCGCCACTATGGTTTAGGCTGAAAGCTATCACTCAGTGGATGTTCGCCTTGAATCAGCTCTTTCTTAATTATGTATTCTCATATTTATTTGGTTTCAATTACACTCTTTAGCAATTTGGTTATCATCGTATTTCACATGGGTTTCTATTCACATTACAGATCTTTTTGGCCGAACGTCAGGTTAACGCCTCCATGTTCCACTTGATCTCCACAATCAAGGATGCCACACTTGCCACAAACCGAGGACCCCTACTGGAAGAATTCCGTCGGCATCTAATGACACTATGCTATGCGGTCGCTAATGATGCTCATTCGCTGTACAGTGCTGTTCATGATTGCCGATTACGAGATTCTGATGGAAGAAAATGCCAAACCTGAGCCGACTACTACTTCCCTACAATCGTGAACTGTACAATGTTGTATAGACTTCTGTCCAGACTATTACACTGTCACAACACCCTATCCTCATTTCCACCAAAGCGATTCCTTTTACACTATCCTTGGAAAACATGTGCACTGTGATAAACCAGATTCGGGGCTCTTGACGAAACAAAAGGGGCAAATTTTGGACTTAGTATCAGTGGTGGGTGATGGTGTACCGACAGGAGATTTCCAGTAATGAAGAACCTTTGACCACTCAAAACCGCAGAACGTCTAGGAAATGTTTTAATTTAATTGAACTGCCATGACACAATCTGATGCTTTCGGGTAGCCCTTGTTTTAACTTTACTGTAAAGCACAGATGCAATTTGTTTTATAATGTAACCTCCTTAAAGTGTGAGAGCAAGTAAAATTGGACGGATATTACGATAGCTTTCGTGCAATGCTGTCGCCCCCCTCCCCAAAGATAGGTAGAGCGTAAAACTGTCCAGCTGTTTCGAAAGCGGGGAATACACCTAAGACAAACATGGCCCGGTCACTTTAGCTAAAGTTTCCCCAAATATTTTATCCTATGATGTAACCCACAGTCATCGGTAGTTAAATAGGGGTATCAAAACAAAACGTCGAGACCTTGGAAGAAGACTGAATACCAATCACCGCTGCTGAACCGATGGATGAGCCACTTTAGAGTAAAACTCCTAAAATGTCAACATTAGATACACTTATCATTCAGCTCAAAAATAATACGTTCGAATATAGGAATAGTGCAATTTGAGTTACTTCCTTTACTAAGTTACCTTACTCTCACACATCCCTAGCTTAAGGCTAAACCGAGCTATGTCAGGCCTACGTCTCGTTCAGGCGACTTCGAATCACTACATGAGATTGCTTTGGAAACTCCACCTTTATTCAAGTCTCACTGGGCCATCTGGGCTAAGTGTAATATGGTCTGGTCATGACAGCGGCTGGTTCGGATAAGGCAGTGATACAATCACTTTTTCACTCCAAAACTCCATGGTTGATGGATCCGGACCGTCAAAGGGAGGGAGGTGATACAGTTGGCCACAGTACGTCGTGCGCCGACACCACACGTGCCGCTGTTACTCCGGAGATAATCACCTACTGCTGCGCCTTAGTAGGAAGCAAACATCACTGTGCTGGCATTTGTTTTGTTGCAGCGTAGAAGCAGTCTTTTGGACTCTGCAACTTTTCACTGAGGCAAGTCCAGTGTCAAGCTGAGTGAACATATCAACAGCCACCTGATACATTGGACGTTGAGTGTACATTCTGACCGTTGAATCGCACACCAGACTCAGTATGACGGACAATTTGTGTCTGATGTGCGAGTCTTCGCTGAAGAGCATTCAGCGTTGTTTGTACTTTCCTCGGTTTTTGGTCTTTACGCGCGTGTTTCCATGCCGAACATTCTTATGTACATTGGGATTCATCTTGTCTGACTGGAACTGTTAGTGGTATTGTTTTCCTGTAACTTTTCCACCTTCACCGCCTGCATTTACTTTTTATGCCTGTGACCATGCTCTTCAAAAATAAACGGTACTTAATGGTATTCATTGAGGGGCGAAATGGCTCAGCTGTTAGAGCACGAATTTACTGACCAGAAAGTCCTTGGTTTGAACCAACCTGTGCCTCTCGATTCCCCCTGTCTAAGCTCGGGTGGCCCGGTAGTATCTTAATCCTCGTGCTTCATTTGGGTGACATGGCATCTAGGCACCGAAAGGGTGTTACCGCTGAGAAATTTTTTAGTATTCATCGTTCTTCTTTTGGCACGTTCCGACAGTATTTCCAGCTGATCTATTTCGCAAACGTCGTAGAATTGCTAAGCCTGCCAAACACATTGATATTCATTGGAAAACTTAATCCAAAAAATGGACAAGCCATTAGAACTTGTATAATGTTCAGTGATTTTCTTGAAGGTTTGCTGCAAGATATAATTAGTGGTGCTTTTGGTTAGGAAGTCCCGTCTTCCTCTGAGTGGTATTTTCGTGAGATACGTGGAGAAGAAATTCATGGAGGTTTAGTGTTTTGGATCGATATATCTTTTGAATCCAAAAGAAATCAACTCTTATTGAAATTTCGGGAGAAGTGTTCTCAGGAAGAGGAACGTTCGGACCAGTGTGATTTGCTGACTAAAGCAACCTCAAAATGAATGCCAAGCTTAACATTCAGAAGTTTGCAGGGTGATCCAATAAATCAGCTGATCTCGACTGACTGTAAGGCCTTATAAAAAACATGTCGATCGCTTCCTTATATCAACGTGGACAACCAAAACTGCAAACTGCAGGTTGACAAAATCCAGGCCCTTTTTTGCTGAAGTCACAGTCTAATTTCTTGTATTTTCGTGCAATTCGCATCATAAGGCATATGGCATCAGTTATCGAACAAGTGTTGTGAGCTGAGCACACTCAAGCAGCGTCAAAACATGTTGGATCGATGCGAGGTGGCGGAGACCAAGTTAGTGAATATATATGCTCAACTCGTAGTGTTCAGTGCTGCAAACGAACAAAGCACCGCTGTTTTGAATGGGTGATCAAGTGAAGTGTGATGGTTTGTATTGGTTCACCCTATAAGCGCACAGTTGGCGGAAGCGAAAAACGGGTTGAATTACATCTTGCTGAAGATTGTGATGATGAATAGATAAGGGACAAAATGAACGGGCATGTTTTATGCCCAAAATGACTAGGATCAGGCTCATACGTTTAGCTGTTAGTTCATAAAACAACACCAACGGAATCCGATGCGCAATAGATAACGTTACATGAAGCTGGTTCCGAATTTCGTGTTCACCTAACTGAACATCCTCTGCCTGATGTAAAACAGCAGGATCAGAATAAACTTTGACAATACGCTCAAGTGGCAGTCGATATGTTCAAGTCGAGGAAGAATAGCTGATATTTAGTGACCCATAATGCACGCTGAGTGAAGCCTTACAATGCTTACCATTATAGCTGGTTGATGCTACCTGTTAACCAGTTTGGTGTGTACAACGGCACATCAAGAACCGTTGTGGGCTTAACACTCACAAATATTTCGATCGCTCAGGCTTGGAGTTTGAATGTCTCTATGCGATGTATACATAAGACGTCGTAAAATGAAATAAAATATAGACCAAGTAAATTTAAGTTATACGCGAAAAATAGAGATAACCCGGTAACCCAAATTAAGGACATGAAATGGCAGGCAATATAGGGGGCTAGTAGGTTTGGACTGTTACTTTTCCGGAATACATCGAGGCTTCTTTCTCACCCTCTGTTTCATCCTCGGTGGAAATCATCAGCAGTGCGCACGAAAACCAGCGAGTTTCGTATAGGTGACCTTTCGATCAGTGGCTAAGCACTTAACCAATCGGCCGCGAGCGCATGAAAAACAGTCTAGCCCATCCTTCAATCAGGTAGTCACCTACTGACCAGCTCTTTGACTGATGACTTCTCATGTGGAAGTTTCACGCATCTTGATAAATTGCTTTCCCTCTGAGTCACTTCTAGATTGACGAAAGTATACTGGGAATTGGAAATTTTTCTAACTGAGAGCTAACCATACTGCTCTTTAGCTACTCGTGGCCGAACGGTTGAGGCTTCAAATTCTGACCTGAAGAAAGCGGGTTCGAAACTCTGAGTTTCATGATATGTTCCATTTTCGGCTAGGTAGGCTACATTTACCATTCGGTATGTAACTTGCTACTATATCGCAAAGATTCAGTGAAGCAACTCCTACGATCACTTTCAGTACTTTCTGAACAGCATGATCATGTCCATAAAAAGTAAACAACATCCATGAGATGCTTGGACGGAGGATTCCAGAAGAAAAATGCTATCAATAGTTCGCTCAGCTGCTACGGATAACATCAGTGTGATGTTCGCGTTATTTTCCGCGACCAAATGTACGTTGTGTACACTGGCGACCAAGCCTATTTGGGCCTCTGTACGTGCGACATGGATTAAATAGTATGTGTGTTCATGTAAGACACGATTATTTTTAGCTCGCTGGGGTCTGCTCCCCACACGGCTTCAGTCTACTCATACCGTCAATCAACTCTAGCTAGAATAGCACGGTATTCTCCGATTGTACAACACGATACAATCGCACAGAATACGTAGTTGTTTCGGTCGTTACTTTTCCTGTTTCTTACAGCACGCATGAAATTCAGAACCTGCGAACCGAACAGACTGTCATGTAGTGATCGAGTTTCTCTAGGATCATACATATTTTTCAGAGTTGTATACGTAGCTGTCAGTTTCTGCTTCAAAGTCGTATACACTCATTGCGCGCGCTTTTTCAGCAGAAAACTACTTAAGTTTTTTTCTTCTTCATGGTGATCGACATAACTCATCACGCCTTGCTTCTGTCCCGCCGTTTAGTTCGCATGAATAATCTTGTCTTCTCTGGTCTTCTTTTCTTTCTATTCCCGTCACCCATTGTTCACCAAATGGAATACGGTCGCGTTGTTAGACAACCAAACACAACATTTCGAGAAATACACTCATTTCCAAATCAATTTGGTTTTCACGGGTGACTCAGTTGAATCTCTCGTTTATGATGTCCTCCTTGTGAGTAGTTTCCTTTATGAAAATATACTGCGGTATATCGAATATCGTACCAACTGATTCATGAGGGGGCCTGTGTGCAGCACATTCAGTTGGGGGACATCATAAACGAGAGATTCAGTTGGGTCTCCCGTCAAAACCAAATTGATTCGCAAATGAGTGTATTTCTCGAAAACAGTCCAATTTGGGTTCAAGTAGATCATAAGGTTGACGGAAACTCGGGGACTGCGCCTACCTGATGGGCCCCAAGAAAGGCGAAACCCGGTCGTGGCTGTCGAAGTGTTTTCAGCAACCTTGTGAGTGGTTTCCTTTAGCTGCTTGTCGAACAGCAAGTCTTCAGGCACTAATAGCAACACTGATCAAAGAAGTGTTGGAAGCTACTCTTTATATCGTTCTAGGTCAAATACTGCAATAGATGATCAAGTTTTGGCATTAATCCTACTTCTCTTTTCAGAATCGTTTCTTGAGATGGGGACAGCTGTAGTCCCTCAGCGTCTAAAGAATCGATTGACCCCATATGGGCTGTATGATACCAATCGAAACGGGAAACCTGCCAAACACTGTCACACTGATAATACACCAGCTGGACAAACTCTTCTCATCGGGGATACATGACTGCCGACAACAGCAATAGAGTGTTAGAGAAATTGAAGCAATTTACAAATGGATCACCTATAAGACTGTAAGCCAATTTGGTTTTGCGAGAGACTCATCTGGAACCAAGCCGAATATCTCGTTTATGATGTCTTCGAGTTCTCCATGACCTTTGAGAACTTTTGAATGCAATCTCATATATCTACCTATCTCATACATCACTGGATGTATTCATATTAACTGGCGTTGAAAGCCCGTCATTTCGGTAGAAACTCAACCATAAAAACACTTTTAAAATGTCGTATCATACTAAGCGCGTGACCGGCGTGCTTGGTGAACTCCCTGGTTAAGCCTCGGGCAAATAAAGTTTAAAGGTTAAACCCACAGAAGAACAATTCTACTCCTACAATATAGCGTGGTATCCCAGAAGGAGATGTTTACCTGAATAGTCATAGAGAAAGCAACATCGTTCATGGTCCGGTCCCATCAGTCATACCACGTAAACGTGATCCGATGCAGTAGATACCAATACATATGGAATTTATTTCCAACCACAACCACACGCTTGTCAAGAGCAAACAAAGATCGTATCTCGACAATCGAGGAAATTAGCTTGGAAGTGCTTGAGAAGGTGTGGAAAAAATTCGCAACTCAACAAGCCTGGTTGGATGATTCTTACATCTAACCCTCAAAAATCGACTGCAGCATCAGCTTTAGGTTCGAAATATTTGTTGTTAACAATGATTTGCTGCTTTTCAGAACATTTACCAACATTGTGACAGTAAGTTGTTTCCTAATAAATCTTTTACCAGTGGGACCAAAAGCGACCACAAAGTTCTGTTTCTTTCGAAAGCTTAAATAAAATGAATGACAAGAACTATGAAGACAGGGTAATTCATCTGTCATAGTTCGCGTTCTAGACATTTCTTACTAGTATGCCCCATGCAGCAAGGCCTGAGAGTAACTGTTGGTAGGTATGTAGCAACCGTTGTTCGTAGTGTTCAAAACAACGCCAGGTCAAATTGATCTCGAAACCAAGTTTGAACAACCTCTGTGGAAAGGCAATATAGACCTCATCCGAAGGAAAACAAGGAAAATACGACCAAGTTAACGAGGGTAACCATGGTAGAAGCATGTGCATTAGTCTCAGCCGGAGTTCGAAATTCAGGTACACGCAGAATGGAGCCAGAATAAAATAGGTCATCATGGTGTCGCGTATAGAGATATCTAAGGGTTCATGAATGCCGACTTCGAAGTGAATTATGCTCTTTGATGCAGGCGCGAAAGTTTCCACGATTGAAGCCAGCAACAAAAATAGTAACACAAACAATAATGAAATGAAACCGGCTAATGCGGAGCACTCTTCGAAGCGTCCGTCATATATTGGTGACCATGCAATTTTCGAATCGCTTACTGGATAAGGTAGCAACGGCGAACCGTTCAGTGAATTCCGACCCAAAATCTGGTCCATAAGCAGTTTGATATTTCCTATTAGCCGTTCCGTTGATCTAGACTGGGCCTCCAGTAATACAATCTGGTGAGGAAGACCAAATCTTTTATAATGGATCCATTTCCGTTTGTTGCGGATAGAGGATTGGTAACGCAGACAGAGAGAACGTAGCAATGCCCTGTAGAGTTCCCGCGCAAAGCACGGTTGACAGTAGAAATCGTGTGGCAAACTAACTAATTGCCGTAAAGTACATAATCCAGGATGCAGTGATGAGTCTCTGTTGATGCAGCACAAGGTGTGTGTTTGAACGTATTCCTGTAACATCTGGTGCAATGAAGGAAGTTCGTCGGGTACACCAAAAAGCAGTCTTCGTCTAGGAGCTCGGAACAGCCAGCTACGTAACAGATGTAGGCGACAGACATTTAACCAATGGCGGATAGTCCAGCCGACCAGGTAGATTTGAAGGCCATGTGTTCCATACTGATCCATTAGCATACGCATCAATTCAACAAGGCTAGTGTACGTGGTTGCCAAATATGGTTTGAAAAACTCATCAGCTCCTGTATTCAGCATACGTAAATCGAATATTGCGGTATCGACCTCCTGTCCCATTAATGCCAACTGCTCGTGAAGCCAGGCTGACAAAGATTGGTTGGTTCTTACATGAAACTTCACAACGTGGTCACGAAGAATTAAATTGCGATATCGCCTGTGCCTGTACCATTGATCAGTTTCGATATACTTACTGGCTGCACTTGAATTCTGGCTACCGTCATTCACTTCCTTACTGCTGCGAGATTCTTCTTCATCAGATTCTCGAATCGCTCGATCTCGTGAGCCTTTAGCGCTGCCATTTGGTCTGGACGTAAAACGACGCGAACCCTTCAGTACTGTAGGCAGCCAAAAGAAGTTAGTTGCATTATCAATGGGCATGTTTCAGCGTCCGACTGACTACACACCTGACGTTCAAGGAGCACAATGCTAAAACGGGACATATCGTTTCGAATAAGCAGCTTCATCCCGGAGAGCGATTATAATAAGGACCAGTTATTCCAAGAATACACATAGAATGATTTAAGTTGATCGTAGTCAAGGAGGATTTCAGTAATATGGAGCAGTCTTGGAAGATATAAAAGGGCGTTCTTAGATTTGGTCTCATCCGTTTGTAAAAATGGATCTGAATGTGTTATGGTTTTCAACGTAATTCTATATGATCTGCGAACTTTCTGAGCGAAATCGAGCTGATAGGTATTCTAGCTCACTGAATAAATCTTGGTGACGATGAAAATTTGGTCACTTTCGGTGTCGTTTCGTTCTTCTGCAGAAAGATAAGACGCTAAATATCCGTATTCCCTGTCTGTACGTGGGATTCTATGAGGTCTGGATATGTTTACAACCTACATTCACACTCAACAGTCACATTTACAAACGAACTGGTGGCGTTGCCATGAGTTCATTGGTTTTTCTTCTTACTGCCAACCTATTCTTAGCGTGCCTTGGATCACAGCAATTGATCAATTGTGAAAATCTCCCGAGAGTTTGGCTAATGCATGTCGATGACACACTTGTTGTCATAAGGGCATGTTATGTGCTATGTGTGTTATATGTTATATTTTTATCATATTACAACACCTTGGGTAAATCCATTCACTTCACTGTGCAGTTCGGAACACTTCCGTGATTTCAAGGTCTCTTGGAACCGTGATCCCTTTGAAACTACAGTTTGCCACAAGCCATCCGAATCAGATCTCTACTCAAAAATTAACTCTGTCCACTTCCTGAGCACAAAGCGAGCGATAAGTCATACAATTGCTCATTGAACGAATAAGACATGTAGTCAACTAGCTTTTTACAAAAACAAGGCTACCCACATTAAACAATGAATACCCAATGGATTTTATCGAACATAAGCTTCAGCCATCCAATCCAGATAAAGCGGCTAAACTCGCAGCTAAACAAGTTGACACTTTGTGGATTCCACACCTGAAACACACTTCCGAAAGTACTTGTTGCGTACACTGCAGCTTCATAATCGGACCACCTTACAAGTAAACAACAGACCACAGAGATAGCTGGATCAAAAGAAAGACCCGCTTCTGCCCGATAATCGTACCACTTGTGTCTACAAGATCGATTGTACTAACTTTTACTATGTTTACTTTAGTCACCCACTGCCAGTACAGTCTTCAGCTGTACTTGTTGTACAATACTTATAACCGACACATCTTTGTTCATCAATAGCTGAGGGAGATAGGGGAAATGGCAACAAATTAAAGGCGGTATGCAGTATAAAATATGCCTGGAGTGCAAGCTGGGGGATCAGAAGGGTAGTCTATGAACTGAAGATGAAAACTTAGATAAATGTGCTCCTGGGGCTACTGGGACTGTCTCACAGTGTCCCTAACGATTATTGTGTATCCTCCCTGGTTTTCCATCCAGCGAGACGGCAACAACCAGAACTATTGAGTTTGCTGGTAATGACTTTCAAACTTTGCTACCAGGTCAATGTTTGACCCCATCTCTGGTTCATTATCACCCCACCGCTCAGTTGTTCTGAAGAAATTAGTCGACCAGTATACAGATAACATAACCAAGCCAGCGCAACTTTTGGAATATGAATAGTTCCCCTATTGTGGGCGAGTTACTTCTTTCGAAAACCATTCAACGTACTTTAGCATTACTGGTCCGATGTTCCCACCTGAAATGTGTAATGTTCTGGAGGCAGTTATGGTCAGATACTGAAAAGTTTTAATACCCTCAGCACGCAGCAGTTAGCTTCCTGACCCATTAAAACATTACGTAGAGCACCACAGCACTGTAAACTTGACTCCTGACAGATATGCTGATCACACGTTTGTGCTGCAGGCGATCGGGTTGTAAAATGCCCCTCTGGCCTTCCCAATCGGATGGAAACGTCGTCCTTACCTAGAGCACTAGGATTGATACAGCTGCCGAGGTAAGCAAATTTGTCTACTACCCTAATCGGTTCATCTACAGGCATGAGGTTCGAGGTGGAGTCCACCCGGTTTTGTAGTAGCATTCTATATTTTACAGGTGTGTGTACGCCAAATAGTGAGGCAGACTTACTTAGGTTGTTTAACATGGTCTGCAGTACGACAGCGTCAGATCAAAAAGAGAGCCTTGTCTTCTGTATACCCGATATCTGTCGGTCTTGGGGCGATTCGACTCCGCAGATATTAGCTGAGGACCATCGGGTGTGCTTTTCTAACACACATATCCTGCAGGAAAGTCTATATGTGCTGTGCTAAACCATTTGCTATTCTCATGAGACCCTCGTGCGTCATCAGGCCTCACAATATTGAGTCCCCTGCCAATTAGTCAGGACTATTTCATCGAAAATAGCAACTAAAGCAAGGCTAATAATATATGAAGGTTGCAGATTAGTGCAAAGCACACGCGCGCGTGCGATCGGTTGGACATGTGGTATTCACAGTGCAGATGACAGTATGTTGATCACACCCCGTCTGACCGGATTGGTGATGTCTTAGTCTCAGTCAGTTGTTGTTTGAGAAAGACCGCCATCATCATCATCATTGTCAGCCGTAAGAAACGCGTACTCGTCATACAGTGGTTGCAGCTGCCGCAGTTTCGTTCACCGATATTTTGGGGGTATAGGTACAGTGGGCTGTCAAGTGGGGGGGTTAGAAAAGGAGCTATGCATTGAAGGCAATAGCTTGCATGCACGAGCACCATTGAGGGCGCGACTGGGCCATATCTGACAATGTTTCTAGCCATTGATGTGGCCCGTCTCGGGGTCCCCATCCAGGAAGATGGCAGTGACCAGCGCAGCTGAGTTTGCTGGTAATGGCTTTCACACTTCGAAAACTTAGATAAATGTGCTCCTGGGGCTACTGGGACTGTCTCACAGTGTCCCTAACGATTGTTGTGTATCCTCCCTGGTTTTCCATCCAGCGAGACGGCAACAACCAGAACTATTGAGTTTGCTGGTAATGACTTTCAAACTTTGCTACCAGGTCGATGTTTGACCCCATCTCTGGTTCATTATCACCCCACCGCTCAGTTGTTATGAAGAAATTAGTCGACCAGTATACAGATAACATAACCAAGCCAGCGCAACTTTTGGAATATGAATAGTTCCCCTATTGTGGGCGAGTTACTTCTTTCGAAAACCATTCAACGTACTTTAGCATTACTGGTCCGATGTTCCCACCTGAATTGTGTAATGTTCTGGAGGCAGGGATGGTCAGATACTGAAAAGTTTTAATACCCTCAGCACGCAGCAGTTAGCTTCCTGACCCATTAAAACATTACGTAGAGCACCACAGCACTGTAAACTTGACTCCTGACAGATATGCTGATCACACGTTTGTGCTGCAGGCGATCGGGTTGTAAAATGCCCCTCTGGCCTTCCCAATCGGATGGAAACGTCGTCCTTACCTAGAGCACTAGGATTGATACAGCTGCCGAGGTAAGCAAATTTGTCTACTACCCTAATCGGTTCATCTACAGGCATGAGGTTCGAGGTGGAGTCCACCCGGTTTTGTAGTAGCATTCTATATTTTACAGGTGTGTGTACGCCAAATAGTGAGGCAGACTTACTTAGGTTGTTTAACATGGTCTGCAGTACGACAGCGTCAGATCAAAAAGAGAGCCTTGTCTTCTGTATACCCGATATCTGTCGGTCTTGGGGCGATTCGACTCCGCAGATATTAGCTGAGGACCATCGGGTGTGCTTTTCTAACACACATATCCTGCAGGAAAGTCTATATGTGCTGTGCTAAACCATTTGCTATTCTCATGAGGCCCTCGTGCGTCATCAGGCCTCACAATATTGAGCCCCCTGCCAACTAGTCAGGACTATTTCATCAAAAATAGCAACTAAAGCAAGGCTAATAATATATGAAGGTTGCAGATTAGTGCAAAGCACACGCGCGCGTGCGATCGGTTGGACATGTGATATTCACAGTGCAGATGACAGTATGTTGATCACACCCCGTCTGACCGGATTGGTGATGTCTTAGTCTCAGTCAGTTGTTGTTTGAGAAAGACCGCCATCATGTGATATTCTGCAGATGACAGTATGTTGATCACACCCCGTCTGACCGGATTGGTGATGTCTTAGTCTCAGTCAGTTGTTGTTTGAGAAAGAAAGACATCATCATCATCATTGTCAGCCGTAAGAAACGCGTACTCGTCATACAGTGGTTGCAGCTGCCGCAGTTTCGTTCACCGATATTTTGGGGGTATAGGTACAGTGGGCTGTCAAGTGGGGGGGTTAGAAAAGGAGCTATGCATTGAAGGCAATAGCTTGCATGCACGAGCACCATTGAGGGCGCGACTGGGCCATATCTGACAATGTTTCTAGCCATTGATGTGGCCCGTCTCGGGGTCCCCATCCAGGAAGATGGCAGTGACCAGCGCAGCTGAGTTTGCTGGTAATGGCTTTCACACTTCG